ACGACGTCGCAACCCCGAGCGAATCCCGTCCAAAAGGCCCCAGGATCCAACCCCCATTAAAAGAAAGGTTGACCCAATTTGGATGACAACAATCCTTAGGCAAACAATGGTGGTTATATGAGCCCAACCATTGTTTTGATGGTAATCCCAGGGCCCACTGGTTGGCACCACCTGGTGCTTTCCGAAACCACGGGACCATCCTGTCCTTGGCCGCCGCGCCCCCCAACATCTGGAAGAACATGGTGCCGATGAACTCCACCGCCAGGGACACCGCAAACTGCCGGGAGAACACCGACCTGCCGAAATGGACCCGAAACCCGGGGCCCGGGTGGGCAACATATAAGAAACAACATGTGGCCGGGTTGTCTGGGAGAAAGGACAAAATAAGGTGAGTCTCAGAAAAAGGTGGAGACACTTAGCTTTGAAAAGTTGGACAATCACTTTTGCTAGAGGGAAATTTAGAAACAACAACCTTAAAGGCAATAAGTCGGAAATAGAAAGAGGCAGGACAACAGCCTCTCTGTCTGGCCATGGGACTTGTAGTTGGCGAACACGGTGTCTCGGTCCACAGTGTCGTGCCCATCTTGCATGTGCGTCGACGCTTTCTGCGCGGGCTCAGAAGACGACATGGCGTTGAGTCGGGTTGCGTTAGGTTTCTTCCTTAAGGCACCAAATGGCTGCGGCCAGCGTCTCATTCACCAGTTTTGCCGACACGAATCCATCCTGCCAAGTGTACTCTATGCTCCTTGGAAGGCGTTCCCGCCTGAGCATTAAGCACAAAATGAATGGACAAACCATATTCGATGAAACCACATGGTGCATTGAATCAAAACCAAAGCAGAAGCACCCAAGTACGTGGATGTCTCTTTACACCGGCTCTCATCGCTTTCTCCAAGCAAATTGCTCTTGAAGTGCTGCGGCCTTCAAACAGATTTCCCATGAGCTGTTTCTGGATGAATCATGATATCTCACCAATCGAACACATGAGCTCGTCCCCTTGGAAATAACACAGGCCGTCTCTGTTGGAAATGGGTTTCACCGATTCTCACGGGTGCATGACAGGAGCTCTCAGGTTCATCGCTTGCCCCTTTGCCCAAAAACATCGGACCCACGAGCCTCCCGAAAAGTGGGTGATAGACGGTTGGGGTAGAGTATTCATGATCCACCAGTGGGCCCCGGCCCGCCAAAAGTTGAGAAAACCGGCTCGAGCCTCCAAAGAAGGTCAGCTTTGAACAATCAGAGCACGCAGTTCTGTTGTAGAGAGAATCTGCTCTCTTGGATTTGGTGCAACACATATTCGCATACTCTGAATTGGAGCTTGGGGGCCAGTCTTTCGAAAACTGCCCCACAGGGTGCCAATGGCTGAAAGGGGCACGGGCCAACTCGGGCCAACCGCTTTCAGCTTCCAGCTTCCGGTTTCATTCCTGGCTTACGCCTCAAAATGACACAAGGACACCAGAGACCTGTTGCATCCACCCACCGAAGCCCACCGCCTGGCTTACGGCTCGGAAAGGTAGTCAAGATCTCCTTGGCGCTGGGGGCGCTGGTGTCCACATGGCCCAGCAAGACCTGCCCCGCCGTTGGCCGCCTGGTCGCGTGGTGTGAGCTGCAGGTCACACCTCTGGCTGCGCAGGTAGTTCAGGACAAATGGCCATTCATGGCTGCAACGCGGGCCAGGGCGTGCCTGTAGGTCGCAGCCTGGCTGCGCAAGCGCTGCAACACTGGCAAATGTCCACGCACGGATGCAACGCAGGCCGGGGACAACCAGCGGCTCTGACAGGCTGTGCAGCAGGCGCAGCTGCAACGTACCCGGTTGTAGCAGGTCGCCTTGGCTGTTGGGGGTGGATGGCACATTGCAGTCCACTTTCAGTTCCTTCACCGCGTCCGCCACAGCGCGCCGCCTCCTGAGGGCCCCGAATGTGACTGGTCAAGAACCTGGCCTCACGCCACAACATCATCTGTGATTCCAACTTGCTCGGCTTTGAGCCTGCAGCTGCTGATAGCCCGCAGGCGCAGCGCGGCAAACAATAGCGGCCGCTGCCAGCAGCGAAACTGCCGCCGTGCTGATCAAGAGTGAATGCCAATGGAGATACACCCCGCAGTCCTGCTCAGGACGGTGAGGTGTTGTCGCTGTGGGTGCAAGTCGTAGGTGACACATGGGGGAAAACGACCCCATTCTTGTCCAAGTTGAGCGAGCTGCGTGCCTGCACATCCAGCATCAACGCCTCGCCATCGCCATGGGCTTGCCGGTCTGTTTTCCTACTGGAGCCGACGGCTAACGGCTCCAAGCTTGCAACAATCACCTTCCGTGTGTCACCGATGGCTGGACTGACCAGTCAACTCCGGCCACGTGGAAGTGGGCTCACGTTAGCAGCCAGGCCACGCCGGAAATGCAGGTTCAGGATGTTGCAACCAACACCTTTGTAAGGTTGACATGATTTGCTCAAATATTTAGCTGCACATAACTCAGTAAGTACGTGCTTCCTGACTTCATTTGCCCAGATCATGATACGTGTTGCTTGGCAGATTGGCACACAAACGGCCTTTTTTATCGCGGGGCGGCGAGCAAGCGAGCCAGTCACCTTGACCGGGTTGATGCGAGCAACGGTAAACGACAATAACACTACCAGTTGCAAAACACACAGGCATACGCAAGTGTTATACTTAACGTGTCACGTGAGAGGAAGTGACCTCTTTGCCTTGTCAATGCTTACTAGGACGGGATCGACCCCTAATGCAGCCAAGGTTTCCTCGGCTCCCCTAGTGACATCCCAAACAAAGATTACGTTCCCAATTTTTTGAACACTCCCCATTGTGCATGTGCATGATACGACCTTTGAACCCAAGGTGATTCATCTACTCCTCGCTGTGTAGTAGGTTGATGGACGACTACTGGTGCGGTCCTGCATTGAGTGCCTTTCTCGCGGGTGTGTCAAGACCAGGTGGACATCTCCAAATGGTTGACTTCACGTTGGTTCCCCTTGTATGCATACGTCCCCTTCAGACGGGTCCCTACTTTTGACACATCGCCAAATGCACAGTCATTGCCACTATTTCCATAAGGTAGTCTCAAAAGGGCAGATCTAGGCTCATCTTTTCTAAGTTCCGAGCTTCCCAATTCAAGAAATGTTCACGACCCCGCAAACAGCTCAAAATACAATGCCAAGATATGGCCATGGGTCAAAAGCCCGTACCCCCAGTGAACATCCCAGTCCCCACTAAAAAATAGACTAAAATGGGTGGTCAATTCACCTAGCCCGAAATGGGATCCCATTGGTTTGACAACCACAGCCATTCCGTGTGCATCTTCCCTCGAACATCTCCGCCAAAGTCGCGGCGGCCGGTCACAGACCCAGCTGGTCCTGGAAGGGCGCTTGACCTGGTGGCCTTTGGTTTTTGGCAAAAGGTTGTCATATCCCATCCGCTTTTTCCGGGTGAATTCCAATCGAGGTTTGGCAAAGTCTTTGAGCCAAAGCTTTTAGAACAAGTTGCTGTTTGGATGCCATACCTCCAACAGAAATCGCACACCTCAAGGGGGGACATACATTTTGAAAATAAGGGAGTGTTGAAAACACAATCCGGATGTCATCCGCGTGAGGCATTGCTGAATTACATCGCGCTCTCCTGCCTATTTCGAATTGGGGAAAGGAGCTACGCACGCCGGTTACGATGCGAACTAAGAAAGGGGTAAGGTCGCAAACTCCCCTTATGAGGATTCTACAATTTGCCCAGACCTGTGCTGAGGTATAGCGGGTCTTCAAAGTCCAAACTTGCCCGGGCTCCGGCGATAGACATGTGCAACAAACTCTTCGTTTAGTTGGGCAACTGTGTATTTAGACCCTACTCCCTGGGTCAGGCCACCAAGCCCGGGGAAGAGAAACCTCCCACCTATGACAGTTGCAACCAGTCAACAAACCACAAGTTTTGAGGGTAGGCTGACGTATGGTTTCTATAACCCCCAGTTTTGGGTAGCGCAGATGGGTTTGCGGACCTTTTGGCTGCCCTGAGCCCCGAGCCCTGCGCAACCTCGGCCTACATTGGGTGACAAGTGCATGAATAAGGCAAGTTGGGATTGATGTTTAGAGTCGTCGAATAGAGCGTAAGCAAGCTCTCTTGACGTGTTGGGTACATGCAGGAAGTGGCACAAGTTGACAAGCAGCACACAAAGATTCGCTAGATATGCCACCAGCACCGTGAATTCCCCCTGGATAGCACATGTGCTCTACTATACCCTCACTTGCCAAGCGGCATCGGCAAAGAACTCCGTGGGCGCGAAGGAAAAGGCGTTGCTCTGCAGAGGCCAGGACTCTGCATGAAGCCTGGGCTGCACAGACAGCCGATCACCAAGTGCAGTAAAATCCCTGAGCCACGATCAATATTCATTGTATTCCCAACCAACATGGTATTTTGGTGAGACCCAGTTACCAATGGTAATTTGGTGAGCCTGCCCAACAGCATCCTGTCTACAGTACACTTCGGAAAGCCTTCTGTCCGGGATGCTTTGCTTGCGCTCGCGCGCATCTGGCTGCATCGCCCCAAAGTCTGCTTACTGTTTGCTGGTACCAAGTTCTCAGCACAGACCCACTGCCCTGCGGAAAGCTGACTGCGCCCGAAGCAAAAAGAAGCGATTCCGCGATTCCCCGATGGGCCTCATGTGCATGACCAGAAGGGAGGGCATGGACACATGTCCGTCTATGAGCCCATCTCCAAAGGCCAAGAAGAAGTCGGCCGCCGATGCGATCGCCATTTCCACCTCAGACGGACGGTTGTTTGGACAGGTTTTTTTTTTTCCGATTTGATTCGCGGGCTCAATCATTTTCCTCGGGTGGAATTGCAACATCGTCTTTTCAGAGTTTCCAGCCACGCCAACCCCCCCAAGTGCCAAAGTCCAAAGTGCCCATGCAGCAACATCGCTCTGAAACTGCAAAAAGTACAATCCCAATCCCGAAAAGAACAGGGGGACAGGCGACCCTTGCCGTTTCCACGATTCAAAGTCCCTCAAGGGGGCAGTCCCTCAGAAGGCATCCCCCCCTTTACCAAAAGCAAGCAAGACCCTCACTCCATCGACCGACGGCCGACCCGGTGGTCCCCTGCTTTTTCGCCGAGGTGCACAGAGCTGCCTGAGGTTGTTGTCATCCCCCTTCAGGAAGGGAGCCTGCAGCAGCCTCAGCGCCGCGGGATCTTTTGCCCAAGTCAAGAAAGGGCCCACTAGAGGAGGATTCCATCACATTTTGCCAAGGCAACAAACCTGCCGACAGGTCCAAGCAGAGCTGTCACCGCTTCTCTGGTTCGTAGAGTTTTTGCGAGCACAAGCCTTCGTTCGTATCTACACGGCCAATGAAAGCTGAGGTAAACTCCCCCCATCCCCAAATTACAGTGCAAGTAAACCACCCACACACCATGGGAGTTTAAAGGGTTTCCAACTTGTTCCCCTGCAATATTTACCTCATCCAGAAACAAGCAGTCCCCTGCTGACGTTGCAACCTACCTACTCGATTCCTGAGTGCCAGGCGCGTCATTTACCATGATCAAAGTCACCCCCTAAGTGGTGGGTTAAAGGGACACAACCCCATTTACTGATTTGATACGCCCCAGAAACCGTCGAAATAATGACCCCAGCTCGAGCCTCCGGATTTCGATTCCTGACAGCCTGAGTGCCAGGCGTCACCCCCTCCAGCTCCTGCGCCAGCTCCTGAACAGCCTGGACCAGCCCTCTCCAGGCTCCCTCGAACCCCTCGACCCAGCCAAAAAACAACCGGGAAGCCTTGCAGGGACGCAACCGGTCATTTCTTTCTTCTGTTTCATTCTTTTCTTTTGCTTGGGGGGGGGCCGCCAGTTGAACCAAAAAGACTCCCCCGCCTCAGGCGGAGCGTTGGTCATCAGGAATAGCCTGGGATGTCCGGGAACGCTCAATGATGTGGCAACATTAAATGTATACTTAAGTGTATAACTCACTTCCCGCGGATCTTGGCTTCCCTTTCATCCACCCCCCCCTCAAACAAAAAAAGAGTCTCAAACAAGGCGTACCAAATTCCTCCAACTCCTCCATCTTCCCCTGGCCCCGTTCGCTGCCGCGCTCCGCCCCAAAGACCCGGCCCGTCCCCTCCGCGGAGCCCCGCCCACCGCCGCGGACCCGCGCCTCGTGAGCTTCTCCCGGGCCAAGGACTCCCGGAGCCGCTGGGCGAAGGGCGCGGCTTCCGCCAGCCGGGCCTAGCGCCCGCCCCCGCCCCCCCCGCATAAAACGCACAGAGCCAACAAACCCCCGGAAAAAAACCAAAGAACAACTTGCCACGAACCGTGAAAGGATGCCTTTCGGCCAAAGTACAAACCGCCTCCAGCTGTCATGCTGGGTCCGAAAGCGAACTCCATTCAGAAGTTGAAACCAGCCACAAGAAGGCATACCCTCCCACCAATTTACATGGAACCTGGCAGGGGGGGGGGGTCTGGAAGACAATTTTTCTTTTACAGGGACCACCCAGGTTCCATGGTGGGAGGGTAAATGGCAGTTTCGAATTGCGGCATCTGGGAGTGCATCAAAATGGGACCCCCAAAATGTCGGTTCAAGGCTCTTGTAGCAGCCGTCCGAAGGGTTTCTATACCCGGTGATTTTAGGCGTATCCTTTAAGGGACCCAAGTCTCGCTTAAGCCTTGAACCCCCGAAACCGGCGACTGAGCCTCAAAAACAACGGCATGATACTCGGCCCGACTCAACCCGGCGTTTGGAGTTCGGCGTAAACGATATGCCTAAAATCACCAGGTATGGAATCTAATTTATGCCAATTTTCCCCGCGAAGCAAACAATGGGTGGTTGCAGGCATATTCAGAACCCAGGAAACATCTGCAATTACGGGTTGGTACCGCTGTACTTGCATGGGAATCCATCCATATCTCTGCATGGACCTACCCTAATTAAGTCCCACAGGTCAAGAAGTAGAGCCAAGAAAAACATAGACCAAGCCCCAAGCTGGTGAAAACAACAGATCACCTCAAGCAAAGGTGCAGTTAGTGCGCAAGAGCTGGGCCTTTTGTGGGTGCCGGGTATGGAGTGGTGAACAACCTCGTTGGCAGGATACCAAGGATTTCCATGTCAGGCAAGCCCAGGCAGGTAACAACCTTTGCATTTCCATGTTGCCCCTCAACTTGGCTTGTCCCATGTTGGATCGGTTCCCTGTGGCTGGGGGTTCCTCCCACTTGCAGAGAAAGATCAACTGTTCGAGGCGGATTGCGCAACGTGTTGTTCAACCACAATGCCATGATCAACGGGGGGAGGTTCATACGACTTGACACACGCGCCGTGCCCAAAGCTCCCAAGTTTTGCATGGTTTACTTCATAGGAATCCTCGCACCGGCAGGGATGGTTTGGCCATGGCACACATGGGCGTATCTTTTATAAGGCACTCTCTGGGGGGCATCACCTACAGGATGCATGTCCACCAACAAGTGTTTGAGGAAGTGTCACAGCCACAACGGGTTCATACCCCCTACTGCAAATATCCACATGTTTCCGCGAGTGATGTCAACCCATTGCTTAAAACGAAAATGCGTGCTATTTACCATAAGAAGCCTGGTTCTTCAAAATCAGGGCTGTGGGAAATGAACCCCTTGATCCCACAACCCTGTTCAAATGCACCACCTTAAAACAAGCGGTGGCCTTCGCATATCAAGACCAACCGGAGCTCCCGAAAATCCGCGAGAGCGCCTGCTCAAGCTTCCGCGGGTGTGGGCCCAGGAACCAGTCGCCCTGGCACGTTTGTTTTCTCGCCCCTTCAAGTCCAAGTTGCCAAAAGGAACCCCATTAACAGGGGACACCAGATTTCCACAAATCCAAAGTTGCAGTTTCAGCAGTAGCTTCCCACTTTTGGAGGTTCCAAAAAGGAAAAATGGACCCGAGTTGGAACCGAGGCCCTCAAAGTGGCATCAAGTCTTCAACCCGTTCTCCAAGTCTTGCTGGGGCTGGGAACCTCAGCTTGAAACTACAATTTGGAGTTTCTTTCCGAAATGCGGATGCCGCTAAAAAATCGACCCAGTTGGAAGACCAAAAAAGAAAAACACGCGAGTGGCAGCTGAGGGGAGGGGGTAGTCGCAGTGTGGTAAGCATGTTTTTTGATAGTCGCAAAGTGATTGACAGCAAGAGGGAGGAACTCGACCCTTTTTCGGATGATTCGCCCCCCGCCCCCCCTGGTGCCACAGCAGCTTTTCCTCTTATCAGGTGCACGGTTTCCGGGCCTGTAAGCACCACATCACCAAAACGAAGCTCCTTTTGAGCAGTCCGCTTCATTTCTGGAGGTGGTGCTTGCAGCTACCTGTTGGAGAGGACATATTGTTGGAATCCTGAGTCTCCACCCTCTTGGGATTCGGTGTTGTACAGGGCATATTGGGCAGGGGGCCCTGGTTGAACTAGCGAAGGGGGCAAGCACTCCCTTAAACTTCACCGGTCCCCAAAAGGGAACTCAAGCAAAATGGGCCTAACGGAGATGTTTCCTCACCGCCCAAGCTCACTTCCTGAGTGGATTGCTGAAACCAAGCTCCAAATATGCTCTTTCCCCAAAAACGTATATAGTTTTGCCAAAGAAACAACTCAAAGTCCAGCTTCTACAAAGTGTGTGGTGCATATCAAGCTCCACACCTCCAACCCCTGGCCCCCCCAAACCAAAAAAACAACAACGCGGAAGCCCGAGCGAGCGAGAAGCGCCTTCCGCCAGTGAGCGGCCATGAAGCCGCGGCGAGCGCCAGATCGCGGGTGCCTCCCGCAAAAATGCCGTGCAGCTGCCCTGAAAAGATCGTTAACACACTTCCGATCGAGTGCCCTGCCGACAAACACGAGGACGGCTAAAACCAGGGTGAAAGAGCACGGCGTAATTCCCTGCGTAAGTAGAAGGATGACTGAACTGATATGGGGGGAATACTGAAAGGGCAAGGGGCCAAGCAAATGTTCTGATTTTGCTGCTGTCCTGCTCCCTTTGGCACATTCGTTGTGCCAAGGCGCTTCGTCACATAGAAGCGCCCACGCAAATGTTCAGGCATGGATTTCTGGAGGCAAGGAAACGTTTCTGCCATCAACATTTGTTTGTAAGGCAGTAGATGCCCCTTGCATCTGTGCAGTATGCGTGCCTCGTGCTTTCCACCCCTGGCCTGCAAACACACACCCTGGCAACGAGCGAAAACTTTGGGCCGCTGGCCAAGCAAAGGGCAGACATTGGCGAACGCCGGAGCGGAGCCTCCTAGTGTTCTTTCCAACATAACTAAGGCGACCGTCCGGTCAATCTGATCCTCCAATTCCATGTGTCTGTGCCAGAGAAAGCCTTTCAGTACCCCCTCGCTCCTTTTTTCTCCCTGTCCTTTCCCTGTGTGGCAGTTCTCTCTCATCACCTTGGCTTTAAGGGTGAGCTTTTCTTGGCAGGCCTGGCGTTTTAAGCTTTCAGAGCACGGGGAGCTTTGGGCCCTTCTCGCCTGAGCCCCAACCGTCCCGCCACCTGCGCCGCACGCCTCAGAGGTCCACAGGCGCCAAGAGGAAATTCCCTGTGTGAAAATCGGGGGACCCTTTTTTTCTGGGGGTCCCTCCAAGGAGGGAGATCTTCCAGGTGCCTGCCCGCAGGTGCCATGTGAATCGGAGGAAGGGGAGTTCATGTTGAAGAAATCCTTTCCGAATAAAAAGTGGAATGCTCAGGGAACTAAAGGTCTGGGATGGTTCCCTTTTGGCCTTTTGGTTCCTCGAGAATGGGCGGTTGCTTTTTGGCTTCTTTCCAAAACCATCCGGAATCCGATTGGTCTCGACCACGTGCGATTCAAGGGTGGGCCAAGCAACATGAGGCATTTTAAGGCCAGGGCAAAACCAAGGGCGAACAATTCCCCTTGCCTTAAAATCAAGAATCAAGGGCAAATCAAGGGCAGATCAAGAATTCTTCTTTTGGTGACCCGCTGAACTTTCGAGCAGTTCCCCTTGCGGATCCCCTGGTTCAAGCCCTGGGTGTGGGATCGATCTCATCCAAATCGGTTTCAAAAGAGCCACGCCTTCTACAAAAGGGATCTACAGGATGCTACAGATCGCCTTCCAAATTTGTCACGTTGTCTGACTGGGCGTCGTTTTGGCAAAAGAGATGGCGCTGGCAAATCAACAGAACAAAACTGAACCCAATGTAGCCATATGTTTGTTTTCAACCAAACTGACCTTAAGAAGGACACCCGTGAACCCCTTGGCTTGCGAATTGTCCCAAGATCCTTTCGAAAAGCGACCGAGCCGGAAGCGACGCCCGGAAGTGACAGAACCCGAGCGTCCAGCACTAAATTCCGGGCCCCAAACTTTCAATGATCATTTTTACTGGTCAACCCAGTGGGGTCCTCCCAACGGAAGCCTCCCAAAGAAACTTCCACAAACCCGTGGATTCCCCTGAAGAATCCAAAGACATCCCACCCCCAAAGCGCCAAAAACGGCCGGGCTCTCCATCCCAAAAGCAGTTTGTTCAGGAAGCCCTCGTAACATGTCAGCCGACTTTACGGGAAGTTTTCATGAATGCGTGCATCGAGGCGCCGCAGAATGCCCGGCGCGAAGCGCAGACCACTCCAGATCCTGGAAGCACAAAGTGCCAGTTGATTCTTCGGTGCAGTCATGTTCTTACCCGGGTGAACCTTTAACTTCCGGACCGCGCAAAGAGCAAACTCCCCATGAAGGACTTGAAAAACAAAAAGCCGGTTTGCACTCCCAGCCCCTTTTGCAGGACGAGTTTGCTACTGGAAAGGGAGCCTGTACACTTCCGTGCGTGCTTGTTGATGGAAGGGTAGCGGAGCGTTCCATTGCAAAAAGAGTCCCAATAATCCAAGAGGTTGCTCAATTCAGGGGCGGCCCTACAGAAAGGGCGCGTTCCTTTTTGGAGCATGTTTGGCACCCCATTGCCAGTTTGGGCGGTCACGCCAACCGCCAAACTGCCGCCGGGTTGGTGTGGTCGTTTGGGGCGCCCAGCGCGGCTAATTTTCTGAGGCTCCGTCGACGTATAGCGCGCATGGGAGGACAGCAGGCCGTAGCGCCCGGGATGAAGTCGCGCCCTCTCCGCACCCTGACCCAACTGTCAGCTCAAGCAGGGTTCCGTTTCTTGACTACCCTAAGGTCGACTTAAACCCATGGATCTCCCTTTGAGGAAATCAACCACCCGTCTTTGGGGTAGTCAAAAAACGGAATCCTGCGCTCAAGTCTCTCACGGATTTTGCTCAAACCTGGCTGACATGGAATTGCTGGGTGGCTGGTCGCTCCGTGCCTCCACCCAGTAGAGATACAAGCCGACCTTAGGCAGGAAAAAAGATTCGGCAAGTCCTAAGCCCTTCAAAGCTCCGGGACAATTACGACAGTTCAGAAACCTGGAACCCGGCATCCTGCCATAACCTTTGGAGGAAGACGGCCTTCCAAAACAAGAACCCAAACAAAAAAAGCACCAGGACAACCAGAAACCTCAAAACCACAACAACTGCACACAAAAAGCAACACGACGACCGAATCCGGCAAACGAATCGATCCCAAAAACATCACGACCACCAGAACCTTTCTTTTTGAAAACAAATCACAGCAAGACCACCCGGTAGACCGAAACTCAAGACCACCGGGTAAACTCCCGGCTTTTCGCCTCCCTGCCGCTGGCCTCATTATTTTACCATGATCAACGTCACCCCCGAAGAAATTGGCTAAGGGGAAACAGCCCCATTCTCAGATTCTCTGACTTTGAGACCCACCAGGCAACGGTCGAAATCATGACCCAGCTCGAGCCTCCGGATTTCGATTCCTGACAGCCTCCTTTTCGATTCCTGAAGTTGTTTTTTTTTGGGGGGGGGGGTGTTTATTAATCAGAGGTACCTGGACCCTCAAACTACCCATAAAAATGGGATATCACCAACCATAATTTTGGGGGTCAAACCCATTTTTAAGTTGGAATTTTGAGGGTCCAGGTAGACATTGACCCCAGCGCCGCTTTTCTTTTTCGCCGAGCTGCCGAAGCGCAAGCCTTGCCCTGGGCCTTCGCTTGGCTCACGGCGCCCGCCACCTGGGCTTCCGAAGCGGGGCTGGGCGGAAGCCCCGGAAACGGAGACCATGGGACCCCAAAATGGTGCTTTCGGGTGTCCCTTTAAAACACACCCGAAAAGAGGGCACCACCAGAAAAAAAAAAAAGAGAATGGCGCGCCCCAAAAATGTGATTCTTAAGAGGTGAAGCCGGTTGGTGGACATCAATCACCATGTGCGCGACGTCCACAGGGTCCAATGACAATTCAGACCCACATCCAATCACCACCGACTTTGCAGGGATTCGAACCCTACCCTCTAAAACCGCTACTTGGGTTATTTGACTCGCCCAAATGTATCCTTTACTTGCTCGCTCTCAGCGGGGGGGGGAATGACCTCGAATTGAACTGTCCTCGTGGCGTACTCTAATTCAGGGGTTCATTCCTAAACCTTGGGGTTCCCCACTGGGAAGCAGCCCAAAAAATGGTCGGCAGATTGAACAAATACCTGGGAGGGCTCCCCACATGTTCCAGAAAAAACAAACGAATCAACCCACCAGTAGGAAGCTCTGGCCCCAAATGATGTAACGCCCAACGGTTGCAACTATTATTCGAAAACCCCCGAGATTGCAAACAACCGTGCGTCGCGAGATATGTCATTCCTGGGTTCCCTTCTGTTTCTGCTTCCAACATGCCGATGGCCTCGGGGCCCTGCCCTGTCATTCGTGTAACATGGATGGCATGGATGGCATGGATGGCATGGATGGCATGGATGGATGGATGGATGGATGGATGGATGGATGGATGGATGGATGGATGGATGGATGGATGGATGGATGGATGGATGGATGGATGGATGGATGGATGGATGGATGGATGGATGGATGGATGGATGGATGGATGGATGGATGGATGGATGGATGGATGGATGGATGGATGGATGGATGGATGGATGGATGGATGGATGGATGGATGGATGGATGGATGGATGGATGGATGGCATGGATGGCATGGATGGCATGGATGGTTGGATGGTTGGATGCATGGTTGGTTGGATGGTTGGATGGTTAGATGGTTGGATGGATGGATGGATGGATGGATGGTTGGATGGTTGGATGCATGGTTGGTTGGATGGTTGGATGGTTAGATGGTTGGATGGTTGGATGGTTGGATGGTTGGACGGTTGGACGGTTGGACGGTTGGATGGTTGGATGGTTGGATGGTTGGATGGTTGGATGGTTGGATGGTTGGTTGGTTGGTTGGTGGTTGGTTGGTTGGTTGGTTGGTTGGTTGGTTGGTTGGTTGGTTGGTTGGTTGGTTGGTTGGTTGGTTGGTTGGTTGGTTGGTTGGATGCATGGTTGGTTGGATGGTTGGATGGTTAGATGGTTGGTTGGTTGGTTGGCCTCTCTAGAATGCGCAAACATGCAAGCTGACAATTGGACGGAGCGAGCGCCGAGAACAACCCAAACAAATTAGGGCCAATTACCTAGTCACAAGTCCCAAGCAACCAGGGACTGACTTTGATTGCCAAAGCATGGTGGACATGAATTTCACCCACTGAGTTCAGAAAGTGCGCAACCATCAAGAAACATGTTCACTCTATATCATGGTCACAGAAAAAAGCTCCCCCCCACAACAAGAACAGAGTTCCCTTGCCTGCTTCTTTAAACACCACTGGCCGCCGACCAAGCGAAACTCCACTTCAAATTGGCAACCAAAAGGTAGTGTTGAAAACCACCGAAAATAAAACACTGTGCCTCCTCCAAATGAGAATGACAACTGAAAAAGGGAAGGGGTCCCCTTTGGATTCGGTGTTTAGAGGGGCACCACCCCTCTTAAGGTCCAAGTCCTGATTTCGGACAGTGACAGGGGAAGTGTACGGTTCTTCATGTTTGTTTAGGGGAGCTCCCCTCCTTCGAACTCAAGGCATGCAGACCGAGGCCGAGCCGCGGCGTGCGCCAGTCGCTTCCCATCTAGGAACCGGAGCTCGAAGCCTCGCCGTTGCACACCACATGCGGTGGGGAGGGTTGGCCCCTAGCTCCTGGCAGGTTTCTGTAAACCCCACAGGAAAACCACCCTCTCCTGTTCGAGGAAGCCTTTCTTGGGCTCCATGCTAATTTGCGGGCAGCGGAGGCGGGGGGACCAGAATCAGCCCAAAACCTGCCAAACGATCAAAGGCTGGTTGGAAATAGATGCTACGGGCAAACTCTGGGGAAATGCGACAAATACCAACCATCCAGGCGCTCGGCTCATCTCCTGTACGGTAATTATATACCTTCCTAGGGTGGGGGCCCCCCTCTTTTGGCGTTTTTGGAGTGCCCAGTGAAAATTTGCACGGTAGTACTTGTGTGCTTGGCCAAGTTGATAAGACAGATAGCTGCCTGTTATTAACCTATTTATGAATGATTTTGCCCTTCTGTAAGTAGGTCGCAACCCAAGTTTTTTGCACCTGGCCCCTTCATCAAATCACCCAAGCTCCTCTTGCATACCCCCCCCCCAACCACTCCCAGCTGCTGTTTCCCCCTTGAAACCGAAGCCCTGCAATCCATTCGCTGTTTTTCCTTTCAGTATTTGATGCTTGTTTCCCCCCTTTTTCCGGGAATCGGTGAGGCAGAAGCATGATTCCGACTTTGTGGCAAAGGGCGCCAAAGCCGCGGCTTCGGAGATGTCGCACCAAGTTAAGCAGGAAGTTTCTCTGGACTCGCAAAATAAGAGGCCCTCGTGGTGGAGCTCGCTTCTCCACCGCCCGTGTCCCTCCCAAATTGGCAATAGACTCTATACACTTATCCGAAAGATTCACCGAAGACGGGCAACAAGTTGTTCTGGGTCCGTAGTGACATCCTCGAAATGACAACTGATTGAGAACCCCTCAAATGTTCACTTACCTCCAAATGCCCGCAACTTCCAGCGCTCGAGATGCCGAACTGAGGCTCCGTCCAGTGCTGTGCTCCGTGCTCCGCACGCAAACCTCGCACCCGGGACCCCGGACCTTTTGGTGCCATGGGGGAGGAGAGAAAACACGTTATTGGCTGCTGGTGTTTCAATGGAACAAACAACACGGGACTCTGTAATGACGCTCTCAAAATTGCCCGTATGATGAAAAGGCATGCCACAAAGGTCATTTTGACACCCCACGGTCCAAGATGTTCATGCTCCTTTTGCAGTACGGGGCCCTGAGTTTAAGGAGCGCCCATTCGTTTGCTTCCTTTGCTAGAGTTCATCTCTCACTGACGTCTTCATCATTGCCTCGGGTCAAACATGTAGGATGTTGTCCCCCCTACCTTCAGGAGGAGGGGGGTGGGGGGTCCCCAATTCCATTTATCCAGTCTTCCCCATAAAAATGGAAAATGGAACAACAAATGGGATTCCAGGGGTCACCCCCTGCCCCAGTTCCATTTTTCAGGGTGTGGGGATAGGATGTTCTTACAGCCGCAGAACCGCCCACTTTGCCCAGCCACCCCAAAGCAGCCTAAGACACCAGCCCGACGCTTCACCTGCAAGTCGCTCTGGTAGAAGCCTCCGGAAGAGCCAAAGGGCCAAATTCGAAGCCCAACCTCCATTTTCTGAAGCTCCGGTCTTCGCTGAAATCAGCTTCCCAAATTTGAAGTCCAGACATTCGGGAAGTGAGGAGCCGGTCAGCAAAAGCATGGGTCCTCGTTTTGGGAGTTCTCTGATTTCAAACCGTGGTGTGTTGCCGGGGCCATTAGGTCCGACGTCCAGCTGGCCTCAAGACGGGCCGGCCGCCCCAGCCTTCGAAGCTCATTTCTTCAGACGCCGCACAATCCGAATGGAAATCAAGCTGGGCATGACCAGGCTTTTACATGCCTGCCCGTGAGAGTACCTCTGCTCATCTGCTCAATGTGCCCTTTGGGGTCGACAAAAATTGATCCATTGATCAATCCCTTGACGAGGAGAGGAAGGGCATCATTTGAGAGGGAAACCTTCGCTTTAGGGGGGACCCACTACCCAATACTCCAACAGGACCCCCAAAACCCCACCAACAAAAAGCACCCAAAGACCCGCGCTTGAATCGTCCAATTGAGGCTCTGGCGCATGGTGGCCGGCTCCGACTGGTCCTCGCACGGCCTGTTCTCCAAGTACCCGCCTTTTTCAGGGTGGTTGACGTCAAACTCCGTCATACCCTGAAAAAGGTGGGTATTGGGTGTGGGAGCAGGAGTGGGGCGGCTGATTCCGTTCATACTGCAAGTACAGCCACCACAAACCACCATTATATACATTTACGGCTGCCTTCGTTGCAAATCGAATCTGGGGCTTTGCTAGGTTTGGATGGATCAACTGGCATCATGAGCCAACGGTCAAAACACAACACTGAATTGCAACAGGCCACTAAGAGGGAAAGTTGCTGCGTCGAAGGACGTGCAGCAGCTTCTTTAGAGTGGTCAAGGCTAACATGCCGTCTTTGCAAAAGGGGCCTATTCTACAAAAGAGGCTTCTTCGACAAAGACCTGCTTCCGGGTTCCATGTGGGTCTTTTCGGGAGTCATGGAAAGCCCCGTGGTACCTCAATCCCTTGGTGGCTTTGGGGCTTCCAGACCCTAGGGATGCCAGCAACAATCCCCCCTGCCTTCCCCGCAAAGCGAACAAAACCAAGAGAAGCAAAATTAGAAGTCATGCCAACGGCAAAGCGCGAATCAGGGTTGTTCGGCTGAGCCTTTCCCAAGAATCCCTTGAAACAGGCCCAAAACCGCCCACCTCCAAACGCACGAGGCTTGGAGCCCGCGCGCTTGCACCGCACCGGTAGCGTCCCGGTGCTCCGACTGCATGGCCAGCACATCCACCTCGCCGCCTCAGTGGACTCGCTTGGAAGCCAAGCAAAGAAGCAAACACCAACCATTCAGAGGTTCCAAAGGTGTTTGGCTCTTTTGGGGCTTCCAACCCTTGGAAAAGAGCCAACTAAAGGTTTCCAACCCCAAGTATTCACACCATCGCCTGCCTTCGCACGGCTGTGGAATCTCTTTCCTTTCATATGTCTCTCTTTTTCCGGCCCTTTCTTTCATGCCGGAGAGACAGACAGGAAAGGCATCATCTCTTCACCACACACTTCTCTCTCCCAAATGCAGGTAAACCAAATTAAGAGCATTTGGGGTGTGATGATGCTCTTCATCCCCCACTCTCATTCGCTCCGTTCATTCCCTCCGTCCCGAATTGAGAGATGCAGAAGGGACGGAGTAAGAAGAATAAATGGGAAGGACAGTTGTCTATCATGTCCTAACGACCTTAACAACTTTCCCATTCCTTCCTCTTATGCCTCTCTATTCTCTCTACCTCTACCCTCTATCACCCAACTCGCAAATCAAGGATGAAGAGATAGCGATTGAATGGGTGATGAGGTGTAGAGTGAGACAAGCAAGGCATGCTATCTCTTTCGTCATTCTTTCCCGCCCGCTCTTCACCGATGCAATGATGGCGAGGATTAGGGAAGTGGCGAGACATGAATCACGGACTCTCGCCCCATCCTCTCCAGCCGTGTCTTTCTTATCTCTTACCACTGCTGCCATCCCTTCCTCCCTTCCATCACCAGCTATTAGCTGGGAAAGGGTATGGAACACACAGAGCAGCTGATCAATCTCTTACTCATGGCCGCTCGCTGCGCGCGCGGAATCTTGGGTGGCTCTTCAGACATAACTCTACGCCGAGATCCGTAGCTGAAAAGCAGCTGGGCGTTGAGCAGCCCGGGCAGTCCACGTTTGGTCGCAGCCATTGGGCTTCTCTGAGTTTGCCCCTCCAAACGGAAAAAAAACAACGGGGGGGGGGGCTGCCTTTTCTGTTTTGGAGGATGCCCTTGGGCTTCTAAAGGGCGAGAAACGCTAACACACCTACCCCCTCTCAAAGCCACCGCCTGGCCTTGGCACGTCCCGTTTTGGCGTTTGGGCCCCCGCCCGTCTGCCGCAGAAAGTCCTCCCACGAGATCTGGCCCCGGATGCCGCGGGCCTGCGGACGACATCGAGCCTCGCACCACCCAAGAAACGTTCCCACGGAATGAGTCGATTCCCCTGCTAGGTCCTCCAGTCGAGAGGTTAGAATAAGGGTACCAACTTTTTTTCTGTAGTGGATTTTAGTATATAGGGGAACCCTCCACCAAAAAAGTTGGTAAAAGGGCACTACTGGGGGACCTGGCCTGACACTACTGGTGTCCAACATGGATGTTGTCCATCCGCAGTATGTCCATAAACGCATCAAATAACCAATGGCTTCGGTTGAGCCAAAGTTTACACACCCCTATTTTCATCCATCATCCCTTCCACCCCCCCACATCCCCCCGCCCCCCCCCCCCGCGCCTTCCGCAGCCAGTCGGTGAGGGCTGGCCAATCGAAGAGGTCCCCGAAGGGCGTCACGCTGCCATGCCGCATGCCGCACGCCGTCTTCTGGCGGGCTCGGGGGGCCCCATCATGTCCCCCTGAAATTCATCACCCCTGCCAAGGGAAGCTCATGGGCCAAAAAAAGGATCACCCCTAGTGGAAACTCACTGTTTCTGGGTGAATTATACTATTTCACCAACCTGAAACAAAGGTGGTTGGGGGGCTATTCCCCACATAAACCACCATTTGGGGTGCGGTCGTGTGAGGCTTAAAACATCACCCCTGTCAAGAGAAGCTCACCTATGGGCCAAAAAAAGGATCACCCTAAGGGAAACTCACCCACGGGCCAAGAAGGTGATTTTGTCCATGCTCCCACCACTTTGAAACCATGGTTGAAACCATAATGTTTGTCGCTGCAGGACGAGATTCCCCCTTAAAAGATCAACCTAAGGGGAAACTCACCTATGGGCCAGAAAGGTGTTGTAAGCCACCGAAAACTGGAATTATAGGGACTCTTGTTTACACCCTGTTGCACGGAACCAAGAAAGCCAACCAACCAAACGCCATTCCGCCGAGTTCGGCTGGACGTGCAGCTCTTCCATCCTGTCAGCTTCACGAGTCACTGAGAAACCCCCAACGGAGGGATTCGTCTCCATGGCTTTCAGTAAAGGAAAAGAAAGAAGCGGAAGGTGGCCGGAGGAACACTCACAGCATGCTGAACCCGAATCCCAGCAGTTTTATGGGTATTCGACGGTATTCAACAAAAAACTGACAGGGAAGGGATGCAAACTCCTTGTAGGTAGTGGTCACGGCCCTGTGGTCGAAACATGTGCAATGGTTAGCCTACAGGGAAGTCTTCGTGCGGCCCGCTTTGCGCGTTCTTGCATGCAGATTTGCATCGGTGCATTCCGCCTGCTTGCACTCATGCAGAACTTCTCCCACCGAGTTGCACCCAAGAGGTTCAGCAACCGTGCGTTTTTACATCCACCCTAGGCTTCCAAAGGCCATTAAAAGAATGGTCGAGGTCGCTAGACTGTTTTTTGCCGAAAGACCGTGTTTTGCGCCTGGCCCTGAATATCCAAGAAATCATGGTGTTTGTTGCCCAAGAATTGCTTAGGCTCAGGTCACTGACAGTCACGCCGCCCTCATCCTCCCAGCTGCAAATGACTGCGCCCAAGCCACTCATTCCCCAGCTTCCCAATTGTATGGTCACATCACTTTTCAAAATCGCCAGGTGTCCCGCCTACCGTATATGCGCGCATAGATTCTTCGCATGTTGGTACTGAAGTCCGGCTTTTTTTCAAAAATGCTGCAAACTTAGTGGCTTCGGGGCATCGCTGCCGATCAGGCATGTGTTGTGGGCTCCTGGGAGTATGGTTGTCCACGCTGTTAAATGTACTTTCCACGCTTTTAAATGTACTTTCCACGCTAAAAAACGTACTTTCCACGGTTTGTCCATGGTTTGTCCACGCCTCAGTTTCTTTCGAAATCGATTAAACAATCAACAAACAACACGCGATCAGACTCTGTGGAGCTGTGGACAAGAAGCGGAAAAGCACGCACGGGCATGTGAGTGACAAGCCAAATTGACACAGCATGGTGACGGCGTGTGATTGCAACGGGATGCAGCGACTTTAAAACATACTTAGCTTATTTCACAAAAGGCAGCAATCAAGTTCTTCAACCTCTCACTATCAGAAGCTCGCAGGGATGTCAGGAGCCAGCCGTCTCAAGTTGGCCAAGTTTGTCTAGACCTACTTTTAATGGTCGAGGGACATTACTTTTATAGCCTTTCGTTTTTTACATGGTCGAGGCTATTTAAAGAATAGTCGAGGAAGCATAGGGTCCAGCTTCTTTGAGTTCGTTGACCTCAGCGCCAAGAACGAATCAGGGTTTTAGTTTTGTGGGGTACCGGGCCTTCAAGCGGCCGGCGTGTCATCTCCCATCCAAAAAGGCAATTCCGTGCTCGTTTCAGCCGTAGGACCTGACTCGATTTTCGATTCGACGCACACCGCCCCAAAACTTGGAGGGTTTGGGAGACTTCGCATCCCAGGCGACCGCAAAGCGGCCGCCCTGAGAGTTCCAGCAAGTCAAGCCATGGGTGGCATGGCAACTCTTCCCCTGGGGTTTCCTAGGCGTTTGACTTAAGCATCAAACCATTCGGGTTGGAACACCCGGTGAAAGGCAAACACCATCAACCTGTGACCCTTCCAAATATCAAAATCGGATCCCCGCGAAGGCCTGATTCCAGTAGGCGTAGATGGACACGTTCCTCCCCTCTGCCGCCTCCGAAGCCTCAAATGAACCCAAGTTGCACCCCGCCTTTCTAGGGTCAGCCGGTGATTCCGGCAGAAAAAGGACACCGCAAAGGGAAAACATGTCGCTTCACTGACATGGGTGCGTCTTGTTCTGATGGCAACCCCTTGTTTGTGGGTTTCAAAGGGGCGGCAAAAGGACAACCGTTGCGCCTTTTTATTTTGGGGGGGGGTACATCCAGACAGAGTTCTATTTTTTGGCCTACTTCCAGGTAGACTTGAGGTTTATTTCCCAGAAAAGGGAAACTCGTCAATTTAAGTCCAGGTATGGAAGTCAACAAATGGAACCCACCCACATGCCTTTTTGGGGTTGGTCATTTAGCTGGGTTTCACCCCACCGATGAGGCCAAGCAAAAGGGAATCGCTGGGGATTCTGTGGGCTGGGTTGAGCGAAACGCCCCATGTGTTGTGGGTGCAGCCCCCTTCGGATGGATGTGGAAAATGACACTTCAGAATCAAATCCCCATGATTTGGTCACTTTACCGGGAATTCCCGTTGGCATCTTTAAACATGAGTCTAAACATATGCCATGGCAAGCGCCCTCAGGGAAAGCGCAAACCTCTTAAATGGGACAGCCAGGTCAGCCAGTGGTTTACCTTGCTTAACATGGAGCCCAAAAGGGAGTTTCCTCTACAAATTATCTGGGTGGTTTTCGGGGGCAACCCATGTGGGCATGGGTCAAAAGTATACCACCAGGAATCGGACCGCAGGTTTTAGTCCTTGGTTCCATTTGCCAGGAGAACCCATTTTGGGGTGACAACTATCTTTGACAACCACAGCCATGTGAAACTTGCTAAGGGAATGACCCGCATAGCCATCCAACTGGCGGTTCCCTTTCTTCGGGAATCCCAACTCATTCCCCACTTCTCGCAGCAGGAGAACTATTCTTGACCACCACCGTCATGTGACAAAATCTGCGGAGAGTGCCAAGCAGATTTTGGGCATGGCTGGGTTTGAGGGGCTCAAGGGGTTTAAGGGGTTTAGGGGAGTTTAGGGGGTGTAAGGGGTTTCAGGGGGACAGTCCCGAGATTTTGCACATGGGGTGCACCTCCTGGGCTTCGGAGCTGCCCTTGGGCCGGCGCCCGAAGCTTCTCCGCCTGATCCTGGCCGAAGCGCTGCCTCGGACCGGCGATCGATCGAGCGCGTTCCTCGGTTCGATCTGAGAAACCGAGGCGCCGAGGGGTGGGGTCGACTCGCCGGGGGGGGGGGGGGAATATGGTGACAGTGTTTTCGGGGGGCGCCTGTTTTGGAGGAACTGACAGCGTGAAGGAGATGCTGGCTTTTGGGAAAGACTGGTTGGGAAAAGGGGCCGGCGTACCCTTAACAAGGGTGAGATTGTGACAAAACAGTGGTCTTTCCAACTCGACATTTGAAGATTCAGCTTGGCCCCAAGGGCTGTTTTGCTTTTGGACCTTGACAAAACGTCGGCGTTTTTCGAAACAACCCCAGAGAACGGATTGTAACATGGCCCTTTGGCTTCATAATTAGTGGCCCTCCGGTTCCATGTGGGAAGAAGTGCCTTGTCCCTTGTTTGCCGCCGGGAATTTGAAGGAACTCCCACAAACTGGAAAAGAAGGCACTGGGTGGAGGGCTTACCCTCCCACCGACTAACATGGAGGTGCATAGCTAGTCGTTCAAGAGGAAAGTGGTCCTACCAGAAAACTTTCAATCACTTTCATCTTAGTCGGTGGGAGGACGTTGGTAACGTCCCTTATGGTTTCTACGGGGAAACCCAAGGGGTTCATTCCACACCCCGGCCCCCACGACCTGCGACTTTTTCCGCCGAGAGAGCACTGGAAGCCGAGAGGCCACACCGCGTTGGAGATGAAAGGCTCGACGAGCACCACCTCCAACACGGCCGAGTCATGTCTTTTAGGGTACCCAACATGGTGATCGGTGTTCGTTCTGGTTTCCCTTTAAGCCTTGTTTAATTTGTGATCTATTTGTTGTTTCTTGTTTCTTCTGCTTCTTCTTCTTCTGCTTCTTCTTCTTCTGCTTCTTCTTTTTTCGGGGGGGGGGGGGGCAGAGTTCCCGAAAAAGAACACACCCATCATGGACCTCCGAGGGGGATGCTGTCCATCCCGCCAAAGGAGACGGTGTGGGGTGGAGACCAGGGCATACATAGTCCCCGTTCCCTGCGGACAAGCAAGAAGCATCAAATGAGGACGGTTTGTAGCCCCCCCCCCCCACCCACACCACCCCACAACATGGCAGCCAAAAACCCCTTCGGAGCCCAGGTAGCCAAAACTCAGAAGCTTCAGACCGGGTTGCAATCTGCAAGCACGTAAACTTTTACACTTGGGGTTCGCTGGAAACCTCGATTTTGCTCCTTTGCTCGTTTGGCTTTTTGGGCGAAAGTTGGCCAATCCCTGCTCATCTCCTTCAAAGCCAGCCAGCTTTCCGACAAACCTCGAGCGTCAAAAAGTCGCCAGCCCAGCCTCCGGCCCCTGGAAGGATGCAAGCTGGAGGGCCTGCTGTCAGGGCTGCACTTAGGTCATTCCACCCCAAGAAAACGCGGGAAGTGCCCCAGGCTTCTGTTGGTGGCGGTGGATTTTCCGAGTTGGACCCACCCTCCAGGCCAAACTGGGGTCTCAACAGAGGGGTGAGCCTCTTTGAGTCTCGAAAGGTCCCATTGCCCAGTCATTTCCCCATGGTCCACAGACATGGGCAATGGGCGTGGCCCGACTTGCATTCGTGGTGACTTGGGCACATGTCAAATCTCGTGCATTCGATGAGCTGCGACATACGCCACAACCAACATCTTCGAGTTGCTTCCCAGGAACTCACAAAGGGTTTTGGACATGAACCGAGGAATGCGTTCAAAGGAAGGGGTCCTTCCCTCATGCACTGCTGAGCACCGGCAAGTCCGCCAGCCCCTTGGTAAATTCCACAACTCTTCCCAACCCCCTGTTTAGCAGCCAATCAGTCAGTGCCTCCTCCTCCCATTGCGCAATCCAGGGCCAGTTCTTAAGCTCAAACGCACATAGTTGTTCAATGCCAACCCAGATCTTGGACTCTCTCCGGGCACCCCACCAACAATCATTAAAAAGTGCAGAGACCCTCGTTTTTGTGGGGGAGCATCTCCGTTTAGAAGGGGCTTCCAAGCACCAAGCCATGTTGGTATAGCCTTCCGACCTCGCAGGCAGAAGACTTCGGAAGCAGCTTCCAAAAGCGTGCCGCCGCCTCCAGCGCGTCCAGCAGTAGGTTGCTGAAGAGTTCTCGGCAGGAGCCTAAGCCCAAGGCTTTGACAGGGGTCAACTTACCCGAGCGACCCCTGTCAGGGTAAGGACCCATTTGGAAGCTCCAAGCTTCCAAACTTGTTGCAAATGTTCGGTCAAAATTTGTCCAGTCCGATTGGGAGCTCCCAAAAGGAAAATGAGGGACTCACGAAATTTACAGCGAGCACACTCACTAGTTGTCCCATGTTCTTTAAGGGGACACTACGGTCATTTGGACCGTGGCTCACATGGAACCATGCTTTTGAAGGACTTCTTTCCTTCTGGGAAACGGACGCCTGTTTGGGGCCCATGTGAATTGCAAGGGGGCAGCATGGCTGCTGAAAATGACCCTTTCGGGGACAGTATGACTACTTTATCACTGTTGAGTTTCAAGCGGATTCCCTTAGTATCCCAAAAACAAGCCACAAAAGCTTTGGTCAAAACTCCTCATCTTGGCGATGGGAAGCCTAATCATGCTTGCAACTTTGACACCATGGTTGAAACTATTGTTTGTTGGCATTTGCATGGGGAATCTGATCGTTCCAAGGCTGCCTAAGAGGATGTTGCAGCCATCCTCCCCATGGCAGTGTTTGCCTTGGGCCCGTGCACCGGTTTTTGTTGACCCATTGGTAAGCCCAAAGGGCCAAGAGTCGGAGCCTTTAAGATGGGTGTGCTTTTTAAGGGTGCCCAATTTGAACCAAAAGGAAACCAAGGCATTTTGCATCCCTAATCCAAACTCTAGAAATAAACCCGTGCCTATTGTCGTTTTGGAGGATTCATTTGGCCAACGGATCCCTCTTGCCCGTGTGCAGAAACCCTGAGGAAACGCAAGCCTTACAGGGAAGGCACACCAAACGCGGTCTCCTCACCGCGGTCTCGTCATCTCAAAAGAAACTCAAGTCAACATTGACCTTTCCCAAAGGCGATGCATAAGATGACCCCTGTCAAACCACAGGGCAAATCCATCTGCGTGAGTTGGATCCCCCAAAAGCCATCGCTCTAGGTGTGGTGCCGAGTACATCCAGGACGGTGATGTACAGGGTAAAGCCCGGCTCTCCCCCCGCCTGCGCAGCAGTCCACCAAGCCCAGAACAAGCGCGGTTGCTCCCCCCCCAAACAAAAAATAATGCAAGAAGCCCCGGAGATGGTCGCTATCTAGGCGTGATTTTTTAGGGAGGTGCCTCAGTTGCAACCATTCCGGACGGTTAAGGAGAAGCACTGGATGCATGAGGGGTTTGTGGGGATCCCCGCGGCGCGTGTAACATTCAATAGACAAAATGGTTTCATCGCATGTCATGGGGTTCGCCTTCGAGTAGACCCAGCTGCTGGTCTTCAACTTCCTGGCCTCGCCTGACCATCTCAACGGGTGTGAGGCTCGGACAGAGCGCTACGGAGCCAAACAGCCAAACCCCCCCCTCCGGTCCAATCCCCATCTTTTGCTGAAATGGCTCAATAATGTCAACCCCAGCATTTACCATGGACAAATCTTGGCCTTCAACATCTCCCCCAACAAAATCCAAAAAAAATGTGTTGTTTTTTGCTTCCCTAAGAAGAAAAGAACTGCTTCTCTCTCCCTTTTTTTTGGGGGGGGGGGCAGACCAAAACGTCAAACCAACCAACCCCCCCCCCCCGTTCCCCCCATCCGCTCCGATCCTCTCTGGCATGGTGGCAGGCATAGCACGGCGGCACTCCCAGCGCCTCAGCAAGCTCGGCTTTTCAGGTTTAAAACACTCTGGGGTTCAGTTACCACCATTAAATCACAGGGGCTTAATATAACCACCTCAGGCTACCAAAACCTGAAAATATTGGGTCAGAACCAAACAATCTGTTTGTTGCATCTTTCTTCCGAAAAACCTGGGTTTGTATAACCACTATTTACACAAGGAACTTCGTCATTCAAATGGTTGCAAAATCCACTGCCTTTTCACACCAGATGTTACCCTGCGGGTCAGGTGCCACCAGAACACCCTACCACCCTGTTTATAGGGAACTGTTCGACGTTCAGGAGTCAGGATCATTTTCCTTTCCAAGGGACCCGAACGTCAGGTTCCATGTTATACAATTGGTGGGAGGGTAAATCAAAGGGGGTCAATATGACCACCAATATTTACATGAGGAACATCATCCTCCAAATTGGGTCCTTGCCCATTCTTTTAGTGGGGTCAAGGAACCCGAGACATCAAGCCTCTTGACAGGTCGCAAGCGACCCAAATCCCGACCTTCACTAATGTCTGGCAGCTCGGCCGTTGCTTGTTGGCTTAGCAAGGGTCCAAAACCACCAATCCACATCAAAACTCTTCCCAATCCATGCTGCCCACGGAGCCTGACCCCTCCCCCCTCCAAAAAAAACAAAACAAAAACAAAAAAACTGGAAAAAAGACAAACACATGGGTAAGACAAAGACAAACATGGGCGTCCAGAAACCCACGCCGCGCACCCGCGGCCTTAAGCATCTTAAGCCCACGGCCTCAGCCTGCGAAGGTGAGTGGTCGTAGCCTCGAGCTTGAAACGGTAGCAGCTCTTGGAGCGTCGGAAAGCAGGGATCCTGAAAACCCGGGCGTGTGTCTTCCCCTTTGGTACCTCCGCCTACGGCGGTGTCTTTCTGTCTTCTCTTTTTTCGAACACCCCCCACCAAAATGGGGGGGGGGTTTTCCAACTGCGCCCCTTTGCCCAAAAAAGGAGACCAAAGAAAGACGCGCCCTCAAAGAAAAAAACAGGTTGTCCTTTGGGGATGGCAAACCATCCGGCAGGAGTCCTCCGGAGCCATGCGTTTGGCTGCGGGCTTCCTTGCAAGATCAAGCATCACCACACTCAAAGGAAAGACTCCGAGGCAAGTCGAAATAGTAAGAGCCACCTCCTAAACCACCTTCCATCATGTCCCAGCCCGAGGGTTCAACAAAGCGACCAGAACACTGGTGGCAGTTTAACCAAAGTACCCGAAAGGTGAGGTTTGAAACCTCACCTTTCGGGGAATCTAAGGAAGGGGCCCATCTTTTACCTCCCCGAACTCGACTTTTGACATTCAGTACCCCCATTGGCCCAACCCCAGGGTAACACAATCAGGTTCCGCCTCATTCGGACCTGAACTCACATCCGATCGAGTGCATGAGCCATCATGAGCCCAAAACAAAAACGTGGCCACTTGTTTTTTTGCCCCCAAAACGGGATGAACCCAGGTGAGGAGTCAAGCTGTCCAAACCCATCCCGGAGCCGGCCGCATCGCCGAAGCCAAAGCCGGGCCCCCGCGCTCCAGCTTCGCCCGGCCAGCTGAAAGAGGCCGCTGCCCAAAGCCACCGCTTCGCCGCCTGCGACGATGGCGGACCACCCCGGTGGATTTGGGCATTTGCGATTTCAAAACCTCCGCGGGTTAAGCTGCGGAAGCTTCCAGAAGCCGTCGAAATCATGTCAAGTTTGGGACTTTCGGGGGGGATTAGTCTAGGGGTGGGTTTCTTTTCCATTCTTTTCAGCCATCGCTTCTTTTCAAAGACCGATCGCCATTTCCCCAAATTTTGGGATCCCTGGAAAGAATGGGGAAGTTACCCCTAGAAAATTGGTGAGTGGCCGTTTGGTCGGCCTTGAAAGCCACCAAAAACACGGCGCAGCCTCAAGCAAAAAACACAGCTAGACCTTTGACACATCACCCCTACCAAGGGAAACCCGCCTACGGGCCAAAAGATGATCTCTTACAAACCATGCCTTGGAGTCTCAAAATCGGGAATTCCTGAAAGGCTGGTTGCCCTTTGGCTTCTTTTGGGACTTGGGGGGTTTTCATCACTTATCATTGGGGCTGATCATCCAAGTTCATCTTCCCGAATTGGTGGTTTGAATTGGTGGTTTCAATTGATTTGGTGGTGAGAGGTGGTGTCCCATTTACCCACCACAAGAGCCAAGGGTTCAAACCCCCCAAACCACAAAATAAAAAGCAACCAATTAAGAGTTACCTGACTAGCTCAAGTCGACACACAAAATCAAAAAGGCGTTGAGCGCTTTCCACTTCCATGCTAGCCTGGAGCAGAAAGGGACACCTGTCCCATCCCAGGTGCCCAAAACTCGAGCCTCGCAAAGCAGGATTTGTCACATTCCGCCCCCCCCCCCAAACCAAAAAGAAACGGCTCCTGCCCTGCCAAAGTGGGATTCCCACATCCCCCATTGCTACTTCATGTGTTAAAGGCCGTTGGCATCGCATGCGGTCCATCAAGGCTTTCTGGTTCCGTGCCTGTCTCCGGCCCCAGCAGCCACACGTCCCCGCCGTTGCGCCAGGCGGAACGCTGCTCCTCCCAAGGGTGTGCGAAGCTGGGAGGATCAGTCTCCTTTGGGCGCCCCCTCGGATTGAATTCCTTCTGTTAATTTGCCGGGAGCACTCGGATGACCAGCATGGTCAACAGCCCAGCTCGTGAGTGGTTTAAGCGAGTGGTAGGACAACGCCTGCTTGGGGAGTACCAGAGGGCAGCCTCGTCGCTGCTCTCCCTTTGCCCCTCCCATTCCGCCCAAACTGTGCTCCTGCAGCCACCAGGCCTTGGGAGCCTCGTCAGCCCGTCCAGGACCCCAGAACTTTCGGCGAAATCAAGCAAGTCCAGAATGGAAGCAACAAACACCCTAACTGCAGAACTCCCCCTTTCGGGTTCCCAAAGAAGACTTTGCAGGGGGGCAAGCAGAGAGGGGACCTCTACTGGCTCGGGCGCTCACCCATCCAAGTCCGAGGCGCACATGTGGTGCTTGGCTTGGGCGCATCTTTGCACGCCCTGGCCGCGTCCAAGGAACATATTCTGCAAGCCCAAACTGCTGAAAAACTGGGGTACCAATTTGGGGTACCAATTTTGGGGTACCAATGTTAAGGTACCAATTTGGGGGTACCAATTTTGGGGTACCAATTGTAAGGTACCAATTTTGGGGTACCATGTTTTTTAGGTACCAATGTTGGGGTACCAATTTTGGGGTACCAATTTTGGGGGTACCAATTTTGGGTAATTACCAATTTTGGGGTACCAATTTTGGGGTACCAATTTTGGGGTACCAATTTGGGGTGCCAATTTTGGGTACCAACTTGGGGTACCAATTTGGGGTACCAACTTCGAGTACCAATTTGGGGGTACCAATTTTGGGGTACCAATTTTAAGGTACCAATTTTGGGGTACCAATTTTGCGGTATCAATTTTGGGGTACCAATGTTAAGGTACCAATTTGGGGGTACCAATTGTAAGGTACCAATTGTAAGGTACCAATTTTGGGGTGCCATTTTTTTAGGTACCAATGTTGGGGTACCAATTTCGGGGTACCAATTGTAAGGTACCAATTTTGGGGTACCATTTTTTCCCCAAACAGTGTGTCTACACTAAGGGGTTCTTACGGTAAGAGAAAAGGCCTTGGTGCCAGATTGAGGTGACCGCTCTGTCCGCGAGCGTTTTGCGTCGTATTTACCGCAGATTCGTGCTCTTGCTTGATGTCGAAGTGCGTTTCGACTGCGCAGGCTCGCACAAAGTGAGGTGTCGACTTCTGTCCGCGAGCGTTTTGCGTGGTATGTACCGCAGATTCGTGCTCTTAACTTGATGTCGAAGTGCGTTTCGACTGCGCGGGCTCGCACAAAGTGAGGTGTCGACTTCTGTCCGCGAGCGTTTTGCGTGGTATGTACCGCGGATTCGTGCTCTTGCTTGATGTCGAAGTGCGTTTCGACTGCGCAGGCTCGCACAAAGTGAGGTGTCGACTTCTGTCCGCGAGCGTTTTGCGTGGTATGTACCGCAGATTCGTGCTCTTGCTTGATGTCGAAGTGCGTTTCGACTGCGCAGGCTCGCACAAAGTGAGGTGTCGACTTCTGTCCGCGAGCGTTTCGCGTGGTATGTACCGCAGATTCGTGCTGTTGCTTGATGGTTTCGCGTGGTATTTACCGCGGATCCTTGCTTTCGCTTGATGTTGAAGTGCGTTTCGATTGCGCAGACTCCCACAAACTCGATTTCTTTGCTTTTTTGGTCCGACGGCACGGGTTTCCGGCGAAAGGTCCCGGGCTCGATTCCCGCCCTGTCCGCGCGAGCTTGTTTCGCTTTCTTTGGGTATGCTTGGATGGTGCTTCTGTGCTGCGACGGCTTCTCGATGGTAACAACAACCAAACAGAAACAGCAACAGCAACAGCAACAGCGCCACATTCATAGAAAGAAAGAAATACAGAGACAAAACAACGAGAACCAAGGAAGAAGCTACCTAGCTAGCTAACTCACTAACTCAGGCACCCTGTTGAAACAAACACACAGATTTTGCCTTTTGTAGTGATGCTTGCGCAGCCATGGGCGCAATAATCTTGGCGACGCTGCTGGAAGCCGCGCCTGCCGATGTGCGCGCGGAATTCGAGCAGCTCGGGTCATGTGTGTTGGGAGACCTTGCGGCTGCGCAGGCGGGTCCTTTGTTGGAAGGTTTATCTTCGGATCGACAGGGCTTCTGGACGCCGTGCAAGAACGCAGGAATTAGCCGGAAACAAGGTGGGAGAAGTTTGCAACAGGAAGAGCTTCGGGCGCTGGCGAAGGACAAGCTTCTCGCCGTGCTGCCGGCGGTTTCATTTCAGGCTCTTCTGGACTACGCCGTGCCTGGCGAGATGGGGAGGGAACTGGAAGAGTACGGAGACGTCCTCGTGGCGGCGCAGGAAGCGGCCAGAGTGACAGAGCTCCTTCGTGCATTGGGAGCGGGTGCAGATGAGCTCAGGAAAGTGAGCAGCGTGTGGGGGATCGCAATACGAAATGCCAGTGGCAGAACACGCGCAGCGCAAAGTGTGCGCTCCGAGTTGCGCGGCGCCTGCCTTCGATTTCTGAAAGAAACGCCAGTCAGCGACGCTTCGGGTGGGGCGGAGCAGGGCATGCGGCTGCGCGCGCGGGTGAGGGGATAAGCCCGAGCAGTTCCGGCGTGTTGGTGGAGCAAAGCGTGCAGGTTACCTTGGCGATGCTGCTGGAAGCCGCGCCTGCCGATGTGCGCGCGGAATTCGAGCAGCTCGGGTCATGTGTCTTGGGAGACCTTGCGGCTGCGCAGGCGGGTGCTTTGTTGGAAGGTTTACCTTCGGATCGACAGGGCTTATGGACGGCGTGCAAGAACGCAGGGATTAGCCGGAAACAAGGTGGGAGAAGTTTGCAGCAGGAAGAGCTTCGGGCGCTGGCGAAGGACAAGCTTCTCGCCGTGCTGCCGGCGGTTTCATTTCAGGCTCTTCTGGACTACGCCGTGCCTGGCGAGACTACGCCGTGCCTGGCAAAATTTATCCTGGCAACACGGCTGTGGCTGGCAGGGTTCTTGGCGCACGATGTCATTGACGTGCGTGTGTCTTGGAATGCGCCCGAGTGGATCCATGCACAAATCCGCCTGCCGACTTTCTTTGACAACTCTTTCCGCTGTGCAGACGAAGCTACCATGCAACAGTGGATCGACCAACATCCGCGCCTTCGCGGCCTGCCGCCCCTCGCAGCGCTGCACCGCATGAACTGCCTCGATAACATGGCGCCAAATGAGTTTGACGCCTTCTTGTGCGCCCTGCGATCTGGGAACGCGCGCTTTATGTACACGCCTGCTGTGGAAGGGTCCGAGCCAGACAGCCCGGTCTTTGGGCCTGCCTTGATAACGCTTCTGTGCTGCGAGAGCTTGCCACTAGCACTCTGCGTGCGCCGCGTCGGCTGTTTGCAGCAACAAGCTACCACGCCTTGACCGCAGCGCCTTTGCATCTACCAACAGACTGGCCTGCTGCGGCTGCGCGCAGTGCCACGCATCTATCCCAGCAGCCCTGTCCTGCGATTCTGCCGTCTCACCGATATGTGCTGCTCATGGACGAAAAAACGAGCATGCCTGCTGGCCATGCCTGTGCGCCTTTTTTCTTCTTGGTGCTGCATGTGTCTCTACTCCCACACACGTGTCCTCGTCTTTGTGAGTGTGCGCGCAAATACCGCAAAATGATGTTGCAGCTTCCTGGCAACAACCGCCGTTTTGCGGCGCTGCCCGCACAATACTCTGCAGCGTGTGACCGCCGCCTATCACTGTTTGGGGTCTCGTGCCGGGGTATTTAGGTACCAATGTTGGGGTACCAATTTTGGGGTACCAATTTTGGGGTACCAATTTTAGAGTACCAATTTTGGGTAATTACCAATTTTGGGGTACCAATTTTGGGGTACCAATTTTGGGGTACCAATTTGGGGTACCAATTTTGGGTACCAACTTGGGGTACCAATTTGGGGTGCCAACTTCGAGTACCAATTTGGGGGTACCAATTTGGTACCAATTTTAAGGTACCAATTTTGGGGTACCAATTTTGCGGTACCAATTTTGGGGTACCAATTTGGGGTACCAATTTGGGGTACCAATTCGGGGTACCAATTCGGGGTACTTTTTTGGGGGTACCAATTTTACGATACCTTTTGGGGGTACCAATTTTACGGTACCAATTTTGGGGGTACCAATTTGGGGTACCAATTTGGGGTACCAATTTGGGGTACCAATTGGGGTACCAATTGTTTGCTGGGGAACCAACTTTGGGCCACGCTTGAAGGGAAATTCAACGGACCCCCCCCCTGGCTCGTGATAGCCATGCATCGCCCGTTTGCTCAAGCCAGGCACGAGACACCCTGGACAAGGGAGACTAAAGGACACCAAACCATTTTCTACCCAAACACTTCGCTCATCTTGACGCCCCGCCCAAGACGCAGCAGCAGGACTTTGAAGTAAGCCGCACAGTTCATTCATGCGCGGGCGTTCCTCACCAAAGGCTGATCCTCATAAGGACAACAACAACCATCAGCTCCCAGACTGGGCGTACCAATCCATATATTGAATCCATAGTGGCACGAGATGGAGCTCTCACATACACTTTTTAGGGGCAAACACGTCTTATTCCCTAGGTCTCTCTTCTTCCTGAGGGCACCTGGCCGAAAAGAGTGCACCTTGTGGAAAAGAGGGCGCCTTGCGGAAAAGAGGGCACTTTGGGGGAAAAAACACGGTTGATTTGTTTTTGCCGACCTGGGGTTTATTGCTTCCACCGTGATTTTCGGCCGGCCTGAGGCATCTCCGCCATAGACCTGGGGCACCAACTCTTCCCACCCCCCCACGAGCCAATTCGTCGTGTCGCCCGGGGTTGGAAGAACACCAAGGGGGGGCGGACAGGGGTCATTGAATTTCCTTTAAACGTGGATCAATGTCACCAGCAGTTTCCATTGAAACGAGGCCCCAACACGGGAAATGGAGGGAAACCCTGCGGAACAGTTTCGGAATGATTGTTTTCTGCAGGGGAACCCTTCGCCCTTGGACACATCCCAAACAGGTTCCAACAAGCGGGTTCCGATTACGCAAGCGCCAAAGGGTTCCAATCATGCGAGAACCAATTTCGTCACCAAAATTTGCGGCTGGCCCGGGAAAAGCGAGTCCCTATTTTGTCCATGAAAAAACGTCACTCTGTACAATGGTATGAGTTGATGCATTTTTAGTGGGTTCCACTTCCAAGCAGCCCTTGGGCCATACTCTTTCAATTGTCTTTGTGGCACCCTTCCGTATGGGTTCCTCCGAATCTTAGGGAAGAGGAACCCCAAAAATGATCCCCACTCAATTCAAGAGGGGGGTTTCTCCGATTTTTTTGGAAACGCCGCGTCAGATGGTGCAAGGTCAATAGAACCAAAACTGGGACTTGGGGCGCTTTCCTCTTGAAGGGACCTCCTGCCTTGCTTAACAGCTAAAGTAGAGCAGTTCTTAAGGAATTCTCGCAAACATGGAAGTGCACAAAACCGGATCCAAAACTGACTAAACTTTGAACAGGCAAATAGGAATCAATTCCCAGCTCCTGTAAAACCCTGAAAATAACGCCCTGAAACTAGGGGGGAAGAGGAACCTTTGGATCCTATACTTAGTAGGGTCCTGCAGCACAAGCGCTCGCCAAAACGACTCAAATCCAACTCCCCCCAAGACCCCAAAGCAGCCCCTTCAAACCCCTTCTCCTGGGTTTGCTTAACTGGGCCAGGGGTCTGGCCGAAAAAAAACCGAATCAGCCGAAACCAAGGCCCGCAGCCAGCGTGTGCCGCTAGGGCTGTCGGAGTGGAGGGCGAAGAGCTCGTAGATGCTTGACAGCATGTCTGGCACAGACTGGTTACGCATCTGAGGGAGTTTCAGGTCTACTTGTCAGTTCGTGCGTTTTGTTTTCTCTTTGCTTTTGTTTGGGGGGCATAGCAGGGGGGGGATAGCATTTTCCTTGGCTCTCAAAAGTAAGCATGTTTGTGGGAGGGAAACTTCGAGTATATCGCTTTGAGTGGTCCAAAAAGATCCTTGGAGGTATGCTGTTTTTCTCTTGAGCAACTTACGCAGAATCTTTCGGTACGCCGCGCGGGCACAGAACAACCCTGGTACTCAAAACATGCTGATCAAGCCTCGGTGCTTGCAAATTACTGGAAGGAATCCTGCAACCCCTTATCCCCGCGGGGGACGGGAGGTCTGCCTTGGAGATACGGCTTGTGACCCGAGTCGGTAACAATCCTCCCAATGACGATTCCCCACCCCCCCCCCACCCCTGCACTTCCATGTGAAGAGGGTAACCCCTCATTCCCCCAACCGTGAGCCTTGGCGTGAACATGAACCTGCCATATATCACGTTCCGTGCACCTTTTCCCCGTATTAAACTCATCGCCACAAGGCCATCCAACTCATGCCTCATCCATGTCATGGCACTAGGCATCACAGGAGTCGAAACCAACCTCAAAAAATCCACATCTTTGTTTTTCTAAGTATGGTCATGACTCATCCTGGTTTCAATGCCCCCTACCCCATTCCTGTTTTTTCAGGCCCGTCTAGCACCTCATAGGCCAGTCGCTTGCTGATGCCCCACCCTCCCGCAGGATTCTCGCGCCTTCCGCCGCACTGGCATTCTCGGCCAGCGCCGGGGCTGCCAGCCTCCGGATCCACCCCCCGCCCCCCTGGGAGGGCATGTCGATTTTGGGAGGGTAGCCTTGCGTTGGGGTGGCTTGAATATGTTTGTACAAACCCCAATGCATGGGTTGGTTGAAAGGGGAACCCCCGCCCCCCCCCCCAAAAAAAAAATAATAATAATAAAAACAAAAACAAAGGTTGCTATTGTTTGGGGAGCAAGCTCGCTCACCCCCGTGGCCTTGCGCTGAGCAAAAAAAGCCTACGCCCTTTCACCGCCGTTGCGCATCGCTCGGCCAGAAAATGTGCCCTTAGGCTAACCACTAGGGTATGCCCCCCCGCCCCCCGCCCCCCCCCGCGCAGCACAAAGATGAGGCGTTGCTCATGACAACTTTCCAACCCAAACCCCCCCCCCCCCCCCTCGACATACATGGCTTCTGGGTGAGGCAAGTGGCCGTGGGTCCAAAATAGCTACCCAAAACAGCTTGCCTGGGAAGTGACTTGAAACATGCGACCCAACTCTGCGGCCCAATGCCTCTGGGCTCTAAATTTTGACCCCCGCCCACGTCTCGCAACCACCCCCGAGCCCGCGGCAGCAGGCTCCGCCAATCCTGCGCCAGCGGTGCCACGCCCTGCCGGTGCAGCGCGGCGCCTGCGAAGGGCGGCGGACACAAACCCCCCCCCCCCAGCTAAAGGGGGAGATTCCCAGGAGTGGTTGCAGCTAAAGCCCATCTAAACCGGAGCCCATCTTTCTTTACCCAAACTCACCTGAAAAGGACCTCTATGCTCGAATCAAGTGTCCCTGAAACCCATTCCTGCCATCTGCATCTGTGAAGAAAGGAGTGGCCTAGCGCACACACGCAAACAAAGACACACACCCACACACACACACACACAAACGCCCTTTGCGAGAATCAGGTGTGGTTGGTTATGCCGGCTTAGGGGCACCCTGGGCTGTCGCCTTAAAACCTAGACAAACACAAAGACACACACGGCCTGGGGCATCTCCTCACCTCCCACAGATTTTCTTGGCCTTCTCGTCTCTCGTAGTTTCTCGTATTTTCCAAAGCCTTGTGCGTTTTGCCTGGGTGTGTTTCTCCCTTTGAGTGCCCCTTCTGTACTCGACTCGCCCCGCCCGCTACGTGAGCCGCCGGCCCGCAGTTCCGGTGGCTCCTGCAAAGCCCTGCCTGGGCACGCGGAGAAACGGAGCCGCGAAAAGATCAACTTCGGATTGAAGGACTTCACTTGGGTCTCAACATTGGGGAGCTCTCCAGGTGGTTAGTTTATGTTTGGTTCTCCCTTACCATCCCAAAAAGTCTCTTCTGAGACGGGCCCACTTATCAGGAGTGGCACCAGTTGGGAGCAACTTTATTGGGAGGATTCCTTGGACGATGGTCGTCCGGATCCGATATCGACATTTCCCTACGTTCACTCCATGGCTGCCAATCTTAGAGCTGATCAAGCCACACATCCAACGCCTGGCCCTGGATCTTTCTTGCGGATCCGGCTCTTCCTGTTTCACAATTCTGTGCTGCCCCTGACCACTGCCGATGCTTGCAAAGATTGAAGCTTTATTTCAGCTGCCACAGCTGCCGCAACACATCAAGATATGCAATTGAAACAACGTGGCTGTGGGAAAAGGACGTGTTTGACATGTTCATTGATCCGGCAAATTCGTCCGCAGCACCTTTCGAAGATTTGCAGCGCGTGGCGGTGCCCTCATGCCCCCCTCCTCGCCTCAACGAGTAAATCTGCGGAATTGTGTTGATCCTACAAGCCTGCGTTGAATCTTCGTCCACGGGCGTCAGTCTTCCTTCGAGCTCGCCTGAAACGACTCAAACGAAGCGCAAATCAGCCCACAGGAAGCCAACGCAGCGCGTCCAAAGTCGTAGACTCAAGGACACCATATGATTCGGCGGCTCGCGGGTGTCAAAGGGGAACCAAAAAGGAAACCATCCTTGTGAAGGTCCCCTACAAAAACACACCCATATTTACCCCAAGACACTTTTAAATCGACTGATGTTCACTTCAGGGAAGTAAACGTAAATGATTCAAGGGGGCCCTTCTATTGGTTGCCCTCTGCTTACACGCTGTTCCTTTCCTAGCCGAAGTTCCTGTCAACCCTGAATTGGCTAATTACACAACCAAGGGTTCAAACAACAATTTAGTTGAGGTTAGCTTTCCCACCAGCAAACACGGAAGTCACACAAGCCTCCTTCCAAGAGCAACGTAGTTTTCAAAAAGGGGAAAGAAAGTGCACCGAGCCATGTTGGTGGGAGGGTGCCACCCTGAGTCTTTGGAGCTGTTTGAAGGCACCTAAGGAGACCGCTCCCGAATTTGCAGGGAGCAGCCCAAGCCAAAATGGCGTCCGAAAAATACCCCAAATGTGCCTGCCCTCTTGGCAACCCCCCCCCCCCACCCACAAAAAACAAAACAATGCTGTTATCAGCTTGTATGCGTCAAAATGTCTGCATGAGGCCGGCACAATGTCTTCTCCATCAGCGACACGGCCGCTACACCTGGCACGCACAGGAGCATCGCCTGCTGGCACCATGCAGGCGAAGGCCACGGAAGCGGTGAGGTACAGAAAAAAAATCCAGGGCAATGCTGGGAGGGTAGGTGATTGCGTGCTTGAGAGATGCGCGTATCTTCTTTAGACATATCTTGTTTGGAGTGTACACCACCAGCGGTGCCCCCAGGCTGCTCAACACCTCCAGCCAAAAGAACGCCAGGGATTTGGAGCTTTGGAAATTCCCTTTTTGACCAAATGCTCCAAGGATTTCCTTTGGCTTCGAAATGAAACAGAATCATCCCAAAGCCGAGCCTCCACGGAGCAACTCTGCAGCTTCTCTGAGGTGCATCCACCTCAGAGAAGCTCAGAGCTCTTTTCGTGAGACGCGCCAACGACGGCGCCCGGAAAGCTGGGCTGTTGCTGGCTGCCGGAATGAAAAGAAGAGAACCAAAACTGGGCTGCCCGTTTTCGGTCCCCCCGCTAAAAGCTTAACTTGTGGGGTAAATGGAAACTACCACTAAACACTAAAAAACTAAAAAGCTAAGGGGATGGCTGGGAGCCACCAAGAAAAGGCAAAGAGTCAAACAGCCGAGCTGAGTCTGGCAATGTCTCCTGGAGAGGCGGAACTGCCAAGCACATGTTCACATGGGAGGATGGCTGGCAGTCTCAGGCGTGCCTTCACAAGGTGGGTATACTGACGAACCTCCAAAGGTAGTGTTACAAACCTCCGCGAGGCAAAAGTGCAACTTGCCCAAAGGACAAAGGCAACACACGAAAAAACTACCGGCATTCAAACAACCCCCTGTTCCCAATATGGCTCTGGCTCAAAAACCCGGAATTCCAAAATGGCTTGCCCTGGCAAGTGGAAATATGGGTACCAAAACCTGCGTAACCCCCCCCCCCCCCCGTGTTTTTAATTTTGAGAGCCACACCCATATGGAAAACTGGAGGAGCCTTTCCCAGAGGACTGTCGCCAAACCCCTTTGCCCTTGCTGTGCTTCTGCAAGGTTTTGGTGGAATGGCCTCCGCTTTGACCCGGTGAAGCTTGTCTGTTTGCTGCAACATGTTTGTTCACGTGTGGGGCGAATGGAAAATCCCGACCTGTTCGGTTCCTGAAAAAAGTGAGCAAATCTGGCCAATAGAGAAACCGACTCCCTTCAAACAACCAGAGGAAAATAACAAATCTTCGTTTCAGCAAATGGAAGACCCTTCGGGAAGTGGTTGGTGGACATAAACCCTGATTCTTGATGTCCACGGGAGGTCCCTAATGAACTTTTATGACGGAATTGACTGGAAAACCGCGAAAGGATGATATTTCAACATGGGAAAGGTGACCCATGGTAACCCCCCCATGTCAGATTCCCTCTACTTGGTGCTTTGATTTGGTGTTGTTCCGGGGAGGTGTCCCATTTTCCCTCTACAAGACTCAGGGGCCAACGCCCCAGAGCCAAAGCTCGCGACCTCGCGCCCGCTGAGCTGCCAGCACGGTCTCAGGCCTCAAGCCCCCCATTGGAAGACAGGGCCTTTCACCCAACGGAAGCACAACCAGTGACAACCAACAAAGACTCACAACGGACCAAAACCAAGAAAAACAAATCGCAACCAGCCACAACCAATCACAACCAACAAACACAACAACAAATAGTCACAACGAATAACAGGCCATCATCAATCACAACCAACAGCAACCAACCGCAACCAACAACAACCAACCACCACAACGAATTGCAACCAATAACAACCAACAACAAATAATCACAAGGAATAACAACCAACAACAACCAATCAAAAAACAACCAACGAAAACCAACAACAAACAAGGAAGCGTCCGTGGTACTTGCCGCGCTGTTTTTGTTGGTTTTTCAGGATCAACCTGCGCCGAAAACTCAGGGAACGGCACACTTTCGTTGTCGGAGGCGCAAAAATTAAATTTCCCCCCCCCCAAAAAAAAAAAAAAACACGCTATGTGCGCTACTCTTGGCGTTGTTTGCGTTTCCTTGAGGCGAGACACTCATTTCAGCAAAAGGCGGAAATAGGGTCCTTTTTTCTTGGGAGAAGGCTCGCCATCCGTGCCCCGCATGTCAGCCGCGCCTAGACGAGCTCAGTATCTTTTCAGCCAGTCACCGACGACACAAAGACGGCCCAAACAACTAACAAAAAACAACTAACAACACAAACTAGTAGCAGTGCTCCGGGTGAAGCTGTATCCACAGTGCCAGGTTGGGACGGGACTGAAGATTGACTGAAAAGCGGGCAACTCGCAACAAGAAAACCAAACACCAAGCCAGCACTACGTCAGTTCACAGCAAGAGCGGGGTATATACATGTGTATATATATATATGCACCATTGCGTTACAGATGGCAGCAACATATAAATCGTGAACAATTGGAGTTGCATGTGCGAATGTCAACCCATAATCCGTCTAGTCGTGCAAGGTCTGTTCTCACGCACGACCGTCACATAGACCACTGAGCCTCACTTGCCGTGAAAATGCCACCAGGCCTTTTGCCAACATCCCTGGACTGCATTGCAAAGCCAAGTGCGTCAGAGAAATTCAAGTCACCAACTGCAGTTGGGGACTGCTCAGGGTCCCTTTTTGCAGTACTAGGTCATTCTCTCATCTGATTTGTTTGAAACCCCAGGTCATGTCAAGACATACTGACGCAGTTAGAGTGAGGTTGACAGTTCCCCCCCCCATGATCTATACGAAGTCCGAAGTCATGTCACGACATCTTCGCAGTTGGAGCGGGGTTTTCCCGCCCCTACCCCCCTGGCGCAACACAATGCAACTTAACAGGGACGGTTTCCAACCCGACATCACAAAGATGACCACACCAAGCAAGAAAACACAAGAAAACCTGCAGAAACAGTGGGGCCGCTTTTCCTACACTAGCACAAACAACCACAACAATAACAACCAGCAACAACTAATGACAACGACTAGCTACCAATCACTACCCATCACAACCATTAACAACCAACAACAACTGCTCACAACGAATAATTGCCAATCACAAAACAAAACAGCCAACAACGAACAGCAAATAACAACAACCAATAACAACCAACAACAAATAGTCAAAATAACAACAAATAATCACACCGAATAACGACTAATAGCCACCAATCAGAACCAACCACAACCAACAACGACAATCACAGCGAACAACAAGCAATAACAACCTATCACATCCAACAACAACCAATACCAAACAACAACAACCAATCACAACCAATAAGAACCAACAACAAACAATCACCCATAAATGTTGGCCCTGTCAGCAAAAGCCGAAAAATGAGCACGGAAACAGCAAGAGACTGTCACATCGAAGACAACTGGCCAGCACTTTGAGTTCAAACCCCGCGATCTAACCCAGCCTTAAGTCTTACCAGAAGAACCCCTTAGTGTTAAAAAAATGGGGACAAAGTGCTATTGTTTTCTTTTACATTTTTTTTTTTAAATATTTTATTTGTCAAAATCATTTTTTCTATTACCAACTCAAAACCCGCCACCCGAACGGCCAGCTAAGGCATGCGGCCGAAAAGGCAGCAGGTGCCAGGTACTGCGCAGCACCAGCGCCAGACCGCTTTCGCCGCAGCCGGGCTCCGTTTCCTCATGAGGGATCGGAGCAAATTCCGGTGAGGGCTTTTCCGTACACCCATACTCAAGCACAAAACCATTGTAACGTGCTCCCTTACTTGCAATAGGTAGGGCATCCACCGCAGCTTGCCACTTTCAAAGGGGTTCCATGGGTACAGAAGTTTCACCAAACAGCCGGGTCATGCCAGCTGCTTCCCATTCCGTTCAATCGTCATTGCCCAAAACCAGCAGCTTCTCATGGTTTTCAGGGATCCTGCAAACCGCAGAGGCAGAAATGGCTGGCTTCTAAAAACACGTGTTTTGGCAAGAATGGGGAACCAATCCGTAGATTTGGCTGGCTCGCAAAGGGGATACCAAAAGGAAAAGGTCTTCCCACAAGGCCTAAATAATTAGGTTGGCGTTGCGGGTAGTTTAAGACAACACGTGGAATGATTTAGCCCTTGATATTTGCGTCCTGTTTGTCCAACCCAAAAAGAAGGGAGGGGCAGGGGACATGCAAAGGAAACTAATCATTCTTGCAAGGTACCCTGACCGAAGAAACCCCACACGGAGTGCTCGCCAGCAAAGACATTCTGGTTGCATGCACTCTACTGGCTGTCTTCTGCTTTAATTTATTAATTTATTTATTGTGTTGTAAAAACGCTTCAAGCCCCAAAGCTAAACAAGTAACCCTTGTCTTGACGGCGGACTTCCCAGAATCGATGCCCGCGTTCTCAATTGCTCACGTGCGCCCCCCCCCCAAAAAAAAAAGTGTTCCCGTTGTGTTCAATTGCCCATGTGCCCCCCAAAAAAAGAAAAGAAACGAGGAAAGAAACCAGCACATACGTCCCTGGTCTTTTCAACTCACTTGCCTTCCCCCCCGCCTTTTCCGCCTCGCAGAGAACCGAGGCCCCGAAGCGGCGCCGCAGCCAGGCCAAGTACCAGGCCTCAGGGCGCGAAGGCGGAAGGCCACTCAAACCTCTGCCCGTCGGATGCCCGGTCAAACATGACAATCACTTGCGGGCGAAATGCACCTTTTCCTGGCCGCGCCGAATTTTTGAAGGGTCAGCTGGGCTGGGGTGTCGGTGTTCAGACCCCTGCACGCTTAAGTGTTCGTGGGGTAAATGGAAACCCAACCACTAAGCCCACGAAAAAGCTAAGAAGCTCGGGAACTGGATGGCTGGGAACCAAGAAACCAAGCACCCAAATTCCCAGAAGGTGGTTACAAATAGATCCAAACCTTTACAGTACACGTTCTAGCCTTTGCAACCTTTGGGGTGGCCGCTGGGATCTCATCGCATAACGCAAGGATCCAACAGCACTTTGACAGAAAGAACCACCGAAACAGCTTCAGAACCTCATGATACCTGGCTCCTACTGGCCCCTGGGAAAAAAGCGAACCAGGCCGCATGGTTGGAGTGACACCAATGTCAGCATGCGGTCCATGAACATGGCCTCACCCAAAGCAAGGGCTTGCGGCCAAGCCCCAGTTTTGAATTGCCTGAGTGGCGGTTTGTATCGTGCTAAGTTGGACGTACATGAGCTGGGCTCGAAGAATACGAATGCTTGAATGCTGTTTTGTTCAAACAGCTTCTATCCCATGCGGAAAAGGAACCCCCACACCCTGCTGTTGCGCAATGAGTTTGTTCTACTCTTCTTGCAGCTCTGGTTAGCCGCTTGGGATGTTCAGGCTGCCTTTTGGAGGGCTGTTCACCAGTCGGGAATATACATGTCCGTTGATGCTTTCCATTGTACTGTTGACATGATCCGCCCTGGCGGAATTTCCCGGCTTAGTGGCACTTTGGAAGTGCGCTGTCCTGTTTCGGCCCTTCTTTTCACCTTGATCCCTTGGATCTCCGGAAACTGTACATCTGCAACTCCATATGCAAATGTTACTCGCGAGGTGCGGAGCCTCAAATAAGCAGCGTCATTCCTGTACACTGTACAATGGGTTTAGCATGGTTTAGCCACACCAGCTGGCTCCCCGTCTTTTATTGGCTGCCCTTCGAGATAAGAAAACAACTACTGCACTTGACTGGGGCTGTGGGATCCTCGTCCTTGGTCCAGGACCTTTTGGCTTCTTCGCATCTGGCACAGTGGGCCGCTTCCTCACCACGTACGCGGACCGGGTTACGTACGCGGACCGGGTTGCCAAAGTTGCTGGTGGAAGCCTGTTCTGAGTAGCTGGAAGGCTCGCCTCAAAAAGAGGCACCACATTGTGGTTGGTGTTGAAGACATAGAAGGATCCGTGGTTATGCACCTCCTCCTTGGTTCCATCGCAGGCAGCACAAACCAACAAGGGCCTGGATTCACCTCGCGCATAGCTCCAGGAGATTGCGGCGTTGTTGTCCTTGCCAGCATAAATGCCCACACCTAAAGCCGAGCCATTGGCCACTTTGACGCCGCTCTCAGCACCAGGGACCAACAAGCCATTGGTGTAGATAGATCTCAAGGCATTTTCGTTGGTGCCATGAAAAACCAACATCAGCTTCTCTTCACCTTTTGATGCCAAAGTTTCAAGGAACTTCTTTTGGACATATTGGCTGACCGGAGTTGGCCTCAGGTTCCAAGCACCAGACACTTGCTTGTAGAGGGTCTGAAGCTCTCCACAGAAATGAGAAGCTTTTTGGTAGAAGAACTCTGAGCGGAGCTTCTCAAATCTGCAGTCGGGTTCTGCTTCCAGGTCATAGGCGAAGCGCACCGAATATTGCCCACTCAGCGCTCCCAAGTACTTCTCCTCAGCACTCATCTGGGGTTTGTAGCACATGGCCGCCACACGTGCCCGCAAGACGGCCGCCTCCCAGGGAGACCGGCGCCGCAGCTGGAGATACACGTTCGCCTCACAGCTGTCGGAGCTGTCGGATCCGGCCGTGGTGACCGAGGCCACCTCCAAGTGTCAGAGCAGTTCAACGAGAGCCGTCAAACTACTCACTGAAAACGTCTTACCGTTTGGGGTGTTCCAAAGATCTCAGAGAAGAAAAAAAGAGAGCCACAAATCACCATCGAAACAACAGCAAGTCACATGCAACTCAGGTGGGGCAAATGCTCTCTGAGGATCGTCCATCTCCTTCCAGTGATCGTCCTTCGTGGCGAGTGGGACATGCTCGAAACGGTATGCCTCGAAGGCCAAGTCTGTCTGACTGATGACCTCCTGCATCTGGCGGTGCTCAGTGCAGGCATCGGTCACTGCCTCCTTCAATTGACGGGCGCGAAGCTGTCGAGTTTTACCTTGCGGGCAGGTGTCAACCAGGCCGTTTACCACACAGGGCCGCAACTTTAGTCACCCCCGGCCTCAACAACACACAAAACGAAAAGATTCGAGTTCAATCATGTCACCCATAGATACAACTGGCGCAACATCTAAAACTGTCTTGCCAGGCCTCAAAAACACCAAAAAATACAAATTCAAGCATGTCACCATTCACCATAGATAAAAGTGGTGCAACATCTAAACCTGTCTTGCCAGGCCTCAAAAACACCAAAAAATACAAATTCAAGCATGTCACCATTCACCATAGATAAAAGTGGTGCAACATCTAAATCTGCCTTGCAGGGCCTCAAAAACGCACAAGAAGATGCAAGTCCAAGCATATCACCATAGAAAAAACTGGTACAACATCTAAACATGCCTTGCCTAGGCTGCCTAGCTGCCCATCTCTTCCTTCTCAAAACGTCTGGAAGATCGATTCACGCTGCGCTTCACAGCTGATCGGCCAAGACCCATTGCAAAGCTTGGAGTGCTCGATCGCATCCCTTCACTGGGGCTTTGAGATGTTCGAATGATTCGCACCTCCATGGCCTTTCGATGGCCACGCCTCATAGACCACCCGCGCGCGGGAAACGGCGGGAATGGATCATCCCCGCATCCATCGATCGGGGCAAAGGCCATGATAGGGCGATGTGGGACAAGATGATTTGGGCCCAGTCCATCCTGCGGAGTAAACATGGAAAAACAGAAACAAATCAAATGCCTTCGACGGGTATTTCATGCCTACCGCCTTCCGCATTCCGAGGGGTTGGAATCCAAATGTCTCGTCTGCATCGTCTATGGTGGCGCCTCCTGCCATAGTCTGTCAACACGGTTCAACTAAGGGCAGATCTTCCCATGGTGGGGCTGGGTTAAAGGATCGAAAACAAAGCAAAACAGTTGGAGATGTTGGAAGGCGGGACCTCAATACATATGTGTTAAGCCATTCTCCTGAGGCATAGACGACAGCGAATGGCATACGTATGATTGGATATCCAATGGTTGTATGGAGTAGTGCATGTATAAGCTGCAAATGGCTGAACATTTTCCATCATTTTCCAACCTGCCTTCATGCTCCCTTGATCTATCTTCATCTCCCGTCCCAGAATTCACTTGGAAGATGCAAGCTTGCAGCTGACCCACCCTGTTCCCTACCAAAGCACAGGTGTCCTTTTGAAAAAATAGAGGGCACTGGCACATGATTTCAATCAAACTTGCACCAGCGCCGTCTACTTTTTACTGACCTAAAACGGACGCATATGTACCCACACAATGCGGTTGAAACATAGATCCAAACCTTCGCAGTACTTGGATGACCGGCCCAGTCCCACATTTGTTGCTTCTTTCCAAACTTCCCATTCTCTCCTTGCCCTGCACAGGCACCTGCCCTGCACATGAGACATGCCTATCGGCTCATTTGCTCAAAACCCGGCAAAGGCCCACCTCGGGCGAGTCCGTCCCAATGGCCCAAGCGCCTGACACGCGAGAAACCAAAATCCGGATGCGAAGGATGCTATGGGGACACCTTTTGGTGGATCTGGGTATGTGTCGAAATACGTGGATCAGGGCTTCTGTGATAGAGCCTTCCAAAGACGAACCCGCGAGATAAAGGGGGGAGATTCCCTTGTAGCACAGAAGAGGGGACAAACCCCATCCCACAACGTAGATGGTTGCGAAATCCATCTCGCACCACGACGTGAGAATGTGGGAATGAAACCATGACATTGGTGGATAGTTACACTGGGGAATCGAATCATTCCAGGGTTTCTGAACGGTGGTGTGAAACGGATCTCGTCCTTCCACATTGGGGATGCCCTCCCAACATGCCGCTTGTGGCTTTTGACTGAAGATTCTTCAATCAAACCCCAAAGAAGACACACCCATGTGGACCACCCTGACCGAACCCCGGACTAAGCAGACCCCCGGTTTATTAATAGGATGTCCCTGCGGTTGGGATTCAGACCACTGCGGTTCGACCCCAACGCCCCTTTAAAGGGGTTTGTGAATCTGGCGTCAACATTAGTTCTCCACTTGGGCGTTCTGTTCGCCAAGGTCCCCCAGTTCAGTGGGGTAACCTTGTTATAAGGGGTGACACCCCAAATGGCGATCACCACTTACTATCTTGCCAGAAGATCCAAGGGCCCCTTACTGGTATGTACTTAGGGCCTCTGGTGCAGAGCGGCACCTGGTGGTCAGGCGCTTGGATTTCACACAAGGCTGGGACTCTTGGATAGTCTGGTGGGGGCAGATATCTTTTGGGGGAAGAGACGCACCGTAGACCAAGACCCAAAATTGGAAAACCAGGTCGAACAATTCGGCTCCTGAGAAGGACCTTTTCAGGCTTGGTTTCAAGGGAAACTCAAAAAAGGACCACCGTTTTCAGGGCCCAAGTGTCCTATCTTGCGACCCCTATGGAGTGTTGTGCCCCAATATTGAGTTAGCTTCCTTTTGGTTTTCCCTTCAAAACGAACCAACCTGAGCTTCCCCAGCGAAAAACCAACTCGGACGCACCCCGCCTTCACAGCCCAGGCGAAGCACCAGCGATGTGCCCTCCAAAAGGCCTGGCGAACGGTGCTGGCGCGAAAAACCAACGCTTTTTCCCCCCCTTTTAAAGGGCGTAGACCCGGGTGAAAATGGGCTGGTGGTGCACAAAACACAAGCTTTTTGCACGTCTTGTAGGGCGTCCTGTTGTAGGTGACTGACATGAGATTAGGGGTTTCCGAGCCCTCGACCCAGGGGTGAAACCACTTACACATCCAAACCAAACATCCAAGTAGAGGTCACCTGGAATCAGCTCAAAGAATCCATCCGGAAAAACAAAGCCTGAAAAACCCTAACCGCCGCTTTCGCTCACTTCAGGCCACAAACTCGACCCACGGGTTGCCAAACTCCATCTGGGGTGGATGGAATGCCACGCCATTCGTGATAGGTGACCAATAACAAATACCAGAGCGATGAAGGAATGATTCAGTATCTATTGCATCTGAATACCGCAACATCCAGCCCCATGATATTTTCAGCTGTGAGATGTGTACGTCATTGTGCAAAAATCTGCGTCGGACGATGCATCTACGCTTGCAAAAAACGGCCCCCCGTGTCCAGAAAGAAGGTCAACAGTAGGCGCCACAATTAAAGCGACATCCGCAAGCTTGCGTATCTTACCGATCTAGCTAGTGGTGCGAAGGAAAACAACATCCAAAAGCAATTTTGCGACCCCCCCCCCCCCAAAAAAAAAAAAAAAAACACTCCAAGCTGCCTAGCAAAAACATCGCTAGTGACGTGCTCCTGACCAGGGTGAAAAGGGTCCAACAAACACCCCTTGTTGATGTTTGTTGGGGCCATGGGCATTGGCGGAGCTGCAGGGCCAGAGACAATCTAAGGACACCAGAAATCGCAGCGCGTTGGGCGAAAGAATCCCCAACTGCCCCTCAGACATGTGGCTGTGGACCGAACAAATGCACCCAAGTGACAGCTTGGCGAATAGAACCCCAGACTAAACCTGCGTAACCCTGGCTCTTTCAAATTTGAGCCACAGAGGGCGAAGGAACGGCACCCAGCAGGACTAAGGCACGCTAGCCCATGCCCTTTGGCCTGCCGTGGCAAGGGACTCCACCGCATTGCGGAGCAACTGGAGGTCGTCTGTGTGGCTGTGGGTGATCTCCACGCAAAGCCTGGAGGCATGGGTTCGAACCCCTCCTTGTGAAGGACGTTGGGTTCACCCACCAAAATAATTAGACGTAGTTCAGAAAGGGCACCCTCAGAACACCAGGACCGCTGACTCAGACCCTGCGACGGCTTGTCTCGATGGCTTTCCTGCTTGCGCTTGGTGACTCGGACCTTGTCACGGATCCCCGTGTCTCCCTTGCCTGCGCTTGCTGACTTGTTTGTCACGGCTGGTCTCCCACTTGCTCGCTCTCTCCCGCTCTCTCCTGCCCGCCCATTGGCGTGCCCGCACTTGGCTCCTCGTTTCTCTCCCTGCTTGCGCTTGCTCCCACGGAGCTTGTCAGGAGCAGTTTGGCCCGAAGTTAAACGTCAGATTGGGCAGCTGCGGAAGCCCCAGTCCCGCCCGTCGACCCGCTCCAAGTCATAAAAGCCAACCGGGCAGTCGTGGCTTTGTCGTGACGGGCACTGCTAGCTTGCAACGCATGCTTACGCAAGCCGAGGCTTGCTTCTAGCATAGCAAGTGATTCATAGCTTGGTGGTTGGCCCTCACGTGAACGAGCTGCAGCTTTCCTTCCGCGTTGTCTGTTGATTTGCTTACGGCGAGGAAAAAGAGGAAAGTTTCCAGGCTGAAGCTTTCAGTTCAAAACTGCTGTGCTCGCCAGCGGTAGGCAGCCACAAAGGTGCACAAAGGCAGCCCCTAGCGTATGGTCAGGCTGACAAACAAACGGATTAAGTAAGGCAAGCCTGGACTGCGAGTGGTGCACTGCATCACGCTGTCCCATACTCACGCAAGGTCTTTGGTTCTGCGATGCAGCTGTGGAAGCTAGCGCTCAACAGCCAGGCTGCGGCCCACTCGCGGCAACTTGCCGAGCAGCTTGCTGGTTACAGCAGGGAGCTCACGGCCGAGCGACGGCAACGGGCCTAGAGAGGTTAGAATGAGGGTACCCTTTTTCTGTAGTCTATTTTAGTGGGGAACCCTCCCCAAAAAAGTTGTGGTAAAAGGGCTACTGGGGGACCTAGATGAACTCCCCCCCCCCCAAGAAAAAAAAAAAAAACACTCACCGGCCTCGGAGCCTCTGCGAAGAAAGCCCGCCGCGACTCCTGACCAAACGGGTTTAAGGTTCGGCCAGCCGCGAAACCCTCCCGAGCTGCTCGCGGCCATTTTTAGCTGGGGGAAAAGTCATCCATCCTCGTTCCGTGTGCTTTAAAAGGAATACAAAAGGCTGAAAAGGCTGATTGCATAGGTTCATGTATGAACCCATGGCCATTGTGGAGCCCACAGGGGGGCTGATTTCCCGTAAAACCATGACTAACGATTCATCTACCATAAACTAGGGCTCATACCAGGGGTTCACATAAGGACGTATACATTCAGCCTTTGAAAAACCGAAGAAAGCGAAATGCGATTTGGCGCTCAGTGAACAAGATCTGTCCAAGGGGTCCTCGCCGAAATGATCTCTCTTGCCGCCAAAGCATCATGACATAGGCGAACACTTGGGCACCCTGATTTGAAACGGATACCCTCCTACCAAATACAAAGTGCACAGTGGCCCACTTTGGAAGACGCAAACCGCATCTTTTGGAAAGGTGGAAAGGCGGCAACTGTGCAACCATCGCCAACCCGTGTTCTTGATCGGAGGGTACCCTTTTTGGGTGGCTTCGAATGGGGGTCACAAGGAAACCCTCATTTTTCCGGGTTGCCTTGATTGAAGCCGAGCCCAGCCCAGCCACTGGGAACCAAAGAGAACCGAGGCCGTCCTCGGCCTGCGCATGGGGCATGGACTGGTTGCCTGCACCAAAGCGCGATTTCCCCAGACCCAGTTAGGGGACTTGCCAGGGGTTGACCACATATACGAACTGGGCTGGTCATCCCAGAAAGTTGGAGGCCGTCCAAGTCAGAGACCCAACATCCCTGCTGGGGCGAAAAAAACAACTGGGTATGTCAAAATTGGCGTTGGGACCCGAAAATGGCTTCGCTTGTCCTGTTCGTTTCGCCTTTTAAAACAGCACGAGGGTCTCACATGGACGTGTAACCTTTGAACTGCCAAAGGGTGCCAACAAAAACGACAAAGACCACCGTTGTTGTCTTCTGGGCCCTTGGATAATTCAGCCATGCACTTTGACCCATTTTCCAAATTTCAAGGGGAAATCGGCGGCAGGTCACACGGCCCGGTCGGTTTGCTTTGCCCACTGGTCAATTAGCCCGTTGACTTTGTTCTACCAATATGTCAATATGGCTCTGATGCTTGTTTTCCAGGCCTTTCTACCCTTGCCAAACCTAGTAGAACCACCCCCAAAAAAATCGGGCCAACGGGGCCAACGGAGCGTCGGTGCTCACGGTGAGCCTGGCAAGCCATCCGAGCTGATCCAGAACCGAGATCTCCGAGGCTCGCCGCCTCGACGCGCTGACCGACGTGACACGTCAGCCTGAGCCCCACTGAGCTCTAGGGGCAGCTCCATTGGTCTAGCACTTGCTACAAGGGTTCGGGAGACTAAAAGGTTTTTTTGATGGGGGTTACTAACCAGTTGGCGACTTCCCTGCAAAATGAAAGTTTAACATGCAACTCACAAACAAACAAAAAACCTTGACAGAGGTGTCAGTTTGGGCAGAAACTGGAGCATCAGGACCCGGGCCCACTGCTCATTTGCTTCCTCGGTGATAAACAAAGGCCATCCAGCCAGCCGCTGCTCGGAATCCTTTGATTTGGGTGTGTCTTTTTTGAGGGCACCCTTTTTCGTTGGTAGTTTCAAAGGGCAACCAAAAGGAAAACCAATTTGGGGGGGCCCTAAAGAAACACACACCGATTGGTTCACTTGCTTGGTTGGCAAAAGTAAAAGCCGAAGTCCAATGGTGCGAATCGCTCATCTCCCTGAAAGGCAGCCAACCACTTGTTTCCAAATGCGCGGGGAACCCTCAAAACGGAAACGGTTCCCCTTGACTTCACTGCGTCTACAAAGGTACCAACTCAAAGCACAGGCAATCAGTAGGGGATGAGGGAATGAACCTGGGGATTCCCTTCAAGGAAACCACCAGTTGGATGGTTTTTTTGGGTGTCATGCCATTTGTCATTCCGAGCACCAGCAAGATGAATCCATCTGGTTTCTGCTGATTCACCTGATGCCAAGCAGTGGTTCCCATGGATCTGAAGTGGTGCAGTTTATGGATTTCGCCACCATCGGTACCAACTCAAAGGCGGCGTCGGTCGCCGCATCCGCGCCTTGAGCTGGAAGGTTCAGGATCTTCACCAGCCGCTGCCTCGGCACGAAGACTCGAAGCAGCCGCGAGCAGGCTCTCCAAGAGTTCGGTCGGAGCCCAGTTGTCATTCTCCTCACTTCTCACTTTCTGAGTGGATTGGCCAAACAAGTAGGTCTATAAAAGATATTATATATATATATATAAATTGTTTACCGCCAAAATGCTCTTCCCCAAAGGTCTAAAGTGCAAGAACTCACGGACTGAGACTTTGGGGTGTTTCGCAAACAAATAGTGTACTTGTAACACATGGCTTGGACTTCTTGTGCTTCTCAGGCCCCTTGTTTTGAGAGACTTCGTTGGGGCGCTAGGAACCGCTTCAATACAACTCTGCTTTGACTGGATCTGGAGTCAAAGGTTCACCGTTTCAAACTTGAACTGGGCTGGTTGCGGCTGTTTGCCAAGGAAAACTGACTGGCTTGATAATATTAGCGTTCGTCGCAAGTGAGACCAATCCAGTGCAGAGTGTTGTTTGTGTAGGGGGTGTACCTTTGACTTCTCTACCCGGGCAACTTTCACGGGCCCCCTGTCAACACTCTTTAGGGGCCGTGGCAACGCATCTCCAAGACAGGAACGCGGGCAACCGCTGGTCAAACAAGATGGTGCCTCAGGCCATTCTCAGTTTGAATGGAACAACCCCATGCTGGACTTCCCACTCCTCCGCAGATGTTCGCAAATGGAACCCAACAATGCTCCTCTCAAAAGGAAATTCTAGACATGGATCCGCAAATTAGAAAGAACGCAACCGGGGGTCCAAACATGTCCAAAAAACATCCCGGACACGGATCATCTTTCATGCGTTCTGACGAGTTTTTTCAGGTCTTCTGCAGCTGGGCCGTCACCGAACCTCAGGCTGGATCGGTACCTCCAGGTGTCCGGCCGCGCCCCGAAACCCAGCAGCCGCAGCCATGGCAAGGGCCTACAGGCCCGAAACGTGGGCTTCCCTGCCGTTTTCCCTTTGAAGCAAGGCCGAAAAGGGCCTCAACAAAGCAACCCGGCAGGTGCAAGTGACCCGAACGGCAGTTGCAAGGAGAATCAGGCAGGTTCCATGTTTGCAACCCACGAGACAACAAGGGAGTTCAAGGGCGCGGCGATCAGTGGAATCTGGTCCAAACAGCCTCTGCTTCCTGGCTCGCCTTCCTGAAAAGATGCGGGCCGCCGATGGAAGCGCCGCCAATCCAAAAGAAGGGCCCGTTCTGCGTTTCCCGCAAACGGGAGAGCTGGGAACATCGCATCTGCAAGGGGTCACTGGATTCCCTCCAAAGATACCAAAAGTTGCAATTTACTGGTGGTGTCCCTTGAAACTGCCGCTTTTAGGGTTCCAAAAAGGGAAATGGCTCGGAAAACCCTGGTCTGCTACGTGTCTCGCTGCGCCTGAAAAAAGGCACCCACCCATCCCTGCCTCGCCCCACCGAAGGTGAGGTCCTCCTCTTTCCCCGAGCGCAAGTCCAGCAGAGAGGCCGCGGCTTTGGCGCTGCCTGAGACAATCAGCCCAGCCCCTAAACCCCCCCCCCCGCCATAGACACCTAGAACAACCATGTACTCCAAATAAAGGTTGCAACAAAAAGACCCATAGACCCATGGACCTGTCCATCATACCCCCACCCTTCTCCCCGGCAAGGGTTCTGATTGACGGCTTCGGATCGAAGCTTTCGGACTGAATGCTTGGATGCCGCGGGGAACCATCATGCTCCAACTAACATGGGACCCACCAACGAGTCGCTTTCAAAAACGCCCCCGGGCCTTCTGTCCAGCTCCGGACTCCAGGAGTCAAAGATCCAATCGTGTCAGAAGCAGTTGGACCCCCTCCATTGGCTGCAATTGTAAAACTGTGGGTCAACACCAAGTTCGAACACAAAGAAAGAAAGAAAGAAAGAAAGAAAGAAAGAAAGAAAGAAAGCAAGCAAGCAAGCAAGCAAGCAAGCCAGCAACAAAACGCACACAACAACGTCTAATTGACGCACACACACACACACACACACACCTCGTGGTTGGCATTTCCTGCCGGGGACTCTCATACTTCCAGCCGAGCTGCCATACAGCTGCCTCAGTCAGTGGCTGAATCCGCTGGAAGAGAACCGATAACAGAGCAAGTCGCATTGGAGGCAGGCCCCAAAAAATATGTCACATAGACGCAAGCCCCATCACCAACTAAGCAAATACATCGCGGGTGCTCCCCCCTCCATGCATCTCTTGCCTTTTCGCGGTCAGGCTCACCATTTCATTCATCCCCTCTAGGACCGGTTCAGACCGGTCCCAGCTGCCCACTATCAAGTCACTTCCAAGGTACATAAGCTTAAGGACAAAACTGCACAGGCATGAGCATTTTTTATACCGCTGAAAAGGTTGTCAACTTGGTGGATGCACCGGCTGTTCTTGTTCCAGAAATGACCACTCCAGAAACTCAGGGTGTCTTATTGTCCCCTTACACCGGCAGAAGCCGATCATCCACCCAAGCGGAACCGTTTGCGCCAAGGAGCACGGGGTCGCCCCCCATCTCCATCTGCCCAAAGAAGATCACCAAAGCGAAGGCCAAGGCGAAACCCATGGGGCACCGCTTCTTCACCTGCGAATGCAAAGGCTGCGATTCTCCTTCCGTTCAATCATGCAGTAGGTCCCCTCCCACCAAATGTGGAACCGTTCGACGAGTCGGGGGTCCTGGAGGAGTCGGGACCATTCTCCTTTTAACGGGACCCCTGTCAGGTTCCATGTTGATTGGTGGGAGGGAAAGGCAACTGTTCAAAGCATGTTATTGTTGGCTTTCTGTTGGGGAATCTAGGGTCTGCTTGTTTTAGCGTATTTTGTCCATTCCGCCCAATCCTGACGGAAACCACGCTTGGCTTTGTCGACAAACCCAAGCATGCATGAGGCATGCTTTCAAGGGAACGGGTGAAATCCACATGTTTTGGCATGCTATGTTCCTTGGCACTGCCGCCGGCAAAATAATGTCGCGCAAAACGCTCCTGCTGCCTTCAAACGTGACGAATGCTAAAACAAGCCTGCCTGTCTCCATGCGTTCAATCTTGAAATGACCACCTCGAGTGGCAGGGAGCTTGAAGAAGCCACCCCCCCCCCCCCCAAAACAAAAAACGTCGCCCGGACCTGGTTCGCCCGGCACCCCAACAACTGCAACTGAATCCTGGCGCCCAGCCAAAATGGCCAGGTCAAAACCCAAATCGGTTCGCCCCCAGTGAGCATCCGATTCAAACCACTAAAATGGGTTCTAAAACGGGTGGCGAATTCACCTATGCCCCAAAATGGGATCCCACAACGGTTCTGACAACCACGGCCAACAACCCATAGACACCAGGTCCACTTGCCGGATGGCCTCGTTGAACTCCTGGTGGTCCTTGGGCGCGTGGGCGATGCGTGTTGGCATGCGTCCCAAGCCAGACCCTCTAAGCTCCAAAGGGGAGTGTGTGCGCTTTTGCAGGCTACCCTTTTTCGGGGTCTGGCTTTTGAAAGCCACCCCAAGGAGCCCTGCCTTGCTGCAGGAAACCTGCCTTTTGGACACATGATGCTGGAAGGGCAATTTGGGGACCAAAAAGCCCCCCCCCCCCCGCGCTGGCAAAGGGGTGGGTTCGTTCGGCTTCCCAGAGAAAAACAACCAACCACGAGAAAAAACCAACCAAACCCAAAGATGAAACTGTGCAACCACTCTTTGGAAGGCTGCCTTCCGTCCTTCCGTCCGGTTTTGTGCCGTTTTTTGTGCACGCCCTTGGCTGAAGGGTGGCGACACGCGACACCCAACGCTTGGCGCCCTGAGCAGCGCGCAAAACGATTGCTTCTACTGAGATGGTAACAAAGCACAGAAGCCTCGCTGTTACCTCGCTTCCTGAGAGGACTGGCCAAATAGACGACGCAAACTGCTTGTTTGCCGCTAAAATGGTCCAAACCCAAAAAGTGCAAAGCCCATGAACTCAGCGAGTGAGCAGCCCTTGTCCAACCAGGCCGTAGAGCCCCCTTCCAAAATGGGCGGTAAGGAGTTTTGGAGCGCTCGTCTCGCCCCCTCTGCTCTCGGCAGCTCGCTGCAAGCGAGCCGCCCTGTAAATAATCTCATCCGCCATTGGCAGCAGATACCTGCGCCAGGGGCATTGGTCACCCCGCTTCCATCTTTGGCCCACAGCTCAACACGGAAGCCGGACTACCTGGCTCCAATCAATCCTGCTAGGGCCAACCTTCCCAAGGCGAACAAGAGCCACCGTTGGATTCCACGCATCTGTCTTGAGGTTGGTTTAAAGGAAGCCCTTTAAGGAAACCCGCAGATATGTTTGTGTTGTTTTTTTTTGGGGGGAAACCTGCGTTTTGAGGTTGGATAAAAAACGGGAAACCCAAAGGATAAAACAAACCACCATTTGGGCGGGGGCCAAACCCCTTCAAACCACCGCATCAAGCCGGCAGCATCAAGCCGCCGCTCCGCACCTATACGGCGCCAGCTTCAAGGAGCAGCTGTCGCTCAGGGCGCACTGCAGGACCTCCCAAAAACCGCGGCGCGGCGCGGCGCAAAACGGCGGCTTGGCGCCAAGCTCAAGCCATGGGGGGCTGGTAAGAACCAAAAAAATCATCCCCTGGTGGTGTCCATGCTCAGGGATCCGGATGCATTATACATCTGAACAGTGCAACTTGTAAATGGTGGTTTCCCTTTATTTTGGTGGAAAGAGCCATGTTTCAAATGGGCGACAAGTATCTTTTAAGCAGCCCTGATGCTATTTAGCTGTCGGTTTCCCTTCGCAACTTAACAACAACGTTGCCGCTTAGCACTCACCAGTTTGTCTTTTCCAGATTCGACTCTCGCCTGGCCGGCGCTTCTGCGACAGCTTTCCACATGGCGGTACCATTCAAGGGTGAGGCTCTGGGTATCACACTGACTATGCCCATGATAGCACCGGAAGGTGCTGCGCGATATCCTCAATTTTACAAGTTGCACCGTCGTCGCAATTCTGCGAGTTTTTAGTGGCTCGCTTGTGGAATCAACCCAGCCGTGCCCCGGGAAGAAAAACGCCCTTTGCTCTTGGCTGTCTTCGCGCACTCACGCGCTTTCCCAGCACTTGATGGCGCCTGTTGGCTTTTTTGGGCAGATTTTTCTTTTTACAAAGCACCCCGGAAAATAACAACAAACAAAAAACAAACGGCTTCGTTGTCCAGCCCCCGCTCGGGAACCCGTACATTCGGGCTTCTGGGCCTCCATCTTTTCCAACCGCTGCCAATGATATCGCCAGCATGGGAGACCCAACACCCACGCCACTTTTGGCCCTTGTCACCTTGCGGCACCTTTCAAAACTCCCGCCAACTTTTGCCCCCGCATACTTCAAATCCTGCTGGGGCCGCTGAAATCAGCTTACCCTGAATTGGCGTTCTGGACTGTTGGGAGCTGGGGCCACATTGGACCCCATGAAAAAGCACAAGAACGCAACTGGGGAATCCTGCAAATTCTGATTAAAAAGGCGACACACAGGAGGAAGAAAGACAAACAACAGGCGAGTCCCTTGTGATTTCCTTCAAATCTGCAGAAGGATTCACAATGCTATGCGCTTTTGAGTCCTTCCCACTCTCACCCCCCACCCCCCAGCCCCACGCCACACCCCACCCAAACAAAAAAAACACAGACACAGACACAGACGCCGGATCCAGATCCATCTCCAGTGGACGCATCGCCTGCATGGTGCTGGCGCGCAGTGCGAGCCATGGCAGCTCCGCGCTGTAGAGGTCCGGGCCTCGAGCCGCAACCCGCTGGTGGCTTTTGGGGCCGAAGGGCCACTGAAAAACCAACCGTACGGGGACCTCACACCAGGAAAGTAGATGGCAACAGGGGAAAAGTCAATGACTACTCTAAGTAGGGGAAGTTGTTCTGGTGAATTCCGTGGTAGGGAAGTCGGAAGTCGGGGGGCATACTACGTACAACCTACGTACAACTCCCCTGGTACGTGAAAGGGGATGACTCAGCCATGAGGAACTTGCGCCAGCAGAGGCGCCATGGCGTCTCTCACAGTCCCTTTCCAGGGACTTCCTTTGGTCCAGTGGAAAGGGTCATGTTTGTCTGTCCAAATTCCGAGAAGGGAACCCTTCTTTGGGGTTGACCAAGTTTAATGCGGAGGCCACCAAACAACAAGGGGCAAAGGAGGAAGAAGTTCAAACCCACAAATGACCGAACATCTAAAAGGCTTCGGTTGGATTTCAGTGGTTCACTGGCTGTCTGCGAAGTTGCCTTCCCAAGGCCAAGAGGAAAACCACAATTTTGGGGGGTCCCTTAAGAAGACACACCAACACAGTGTTTGCAGTTTGAGGTTAAGCGAATTGCTCCCTTCCAACCCGAGGGAACGGCTCAAAATCGGCCTTGAAACAGAAACCCCTCCTTTGAAACCGCCGTTGTGTTTCCCCTTCCCCCCGCCCCCCCGGGCGCATCCCCCCTCCCCAAAAACAAAAACTGGGGTCTGTGGCTCCATCCCCCCTTTTTTCCCCTTTGGATCAACCACCCACCCACCACCGCCCCGTCGGACGTCGGACGTCGGAAGTCGGACGTCGGAAGTCGGAAGTCGGACGTCGGCGCCCGGAAAACGGCGAGGCGCAGTGTGCCAGGAGCTGCGCCTCGGGCTCGCCTCAGCCGATTCATCCGCGGTGGATCGATCCCGGCTGCATGCAGAAAGATAAAGGGCCTTTTTTTGAGAAATCCCAGAAGACCCTTGAAAATCTAACCCTTGAAAAGGGGCACGAAAGGCCCTTCTCCTGCTTCAAAAGGCTTTGGTTACAGGAACAAATCCACAGGACATGGCCCAGAAGACCCTAAATAAGCCTTTGAGACATACGACGAAGGGACAGATTTGAACTGGGGTCCAAAACCGTTTATCCTCTCATGAACATGCGGGGGACCCGGGGGATCGCGTGTGTGACGGGGGTCCAAGTATGGGTGGAATGTATCAAAAGCCCGAAAGGATTGTTAGATGCAACAAGTGACCAACTGGATGTTTGGAAGGTCGCAACCGGAAGACAAGAGCAAACAGCCTGAAAAGGAGCCATCCACCACAAGCCCATCACCTCCGGGAACCAACAAAAAACCGAAAACCGAAATCCGTCTACCGAAGCATGCTTTCAGGCCCCATGGCATCTTTCGAGAAATTGTGGCAGCGCCATGTTTGCAAACGCTTGCTTCATGTCTTCGAGCAGCCAAAAAAACAACAACTCACAGACGCCACCCGCAGCGCGCTGGGCTGCAAGGTGCGCTGGGGTGTCCTCGCATACCGAAAGTTCAAAAAGGAAGGCGCCCCCTTTTGATGGAAAAGCGTCCCCCCCCAGCTGTTGAAGTGACATCCTCAAACCACCACCAAACATAGGTGACCTTGTGGAAAAAAAGCTGGCCCTAAATGGAATGAAAAACATCTAAACCAGTGGAACCCATCTGTTTCTAACCAAACTAACCTATCAAAAGGACCCCTGCCCCAAAAGCAATGCTTTGAGCACGAAAGCTCCAGCCAAAGGGCACCTCTCAGCCCAAAATCCCCAAACTCTGAGCAACTCAAGCCACCTTTGACGACACGCGCGTCGAAACGACCTCCGGGCACTGTAGAACGTACTAAAATTCCCGCTGAGAACCAGCAAGCTCAAAATCTGCCCCAGATGGGACACAGAAATAAGGCTAAGCTTTTGGCAGCTTGACTAGAAATGGACCACAATTGGAAACTCAAAGGTCCAACATGTCGATTCGTTTTGGGCAACTGAGCAAAAATAATATGCTCAGCCCAGGCGCGCCAGAAGAGGTCCTGCCTGGCAGCGATTTGCGCGCGATTCGCGAAGGCCGATTCCAAACAAGCTGCAAATGGACACCTTGAGCAGATTCGAGGGTTTCCACATATCGGAAATTCGCAACCCCTGGTTGACTTCGATGTTTGGCCGGGTTACAAAGTACTTGCCCCACTAAGAATTTGGCGGTGCGCCGGGCGCTTAGCTAAGTCTGCAAACTGGGCCAGGCGGACTTTGCGAGGTTATAACTCAGGTTAGAGAAGTTACCTAGTTATAACCCAGGTTGGCGGACTTAGCTAAGTCGGCCAAGTGGGGCAAGTACCTAGCAAACCAGCCGAACATCCAAGTAGTGGGGAGGGAGGGTTGTCAAAACACATGAGCAGGTCAAAACGAGCGAGTTTCTCCCAAATTGCATCGGCTCCATGCTGTTCTTCGGCCAAATGAGAACAATCGATGTGGTGCTTCCCCTCAAAAGGGGGGGAAACACCCATGTGAGCCAAACATGGGGTGCATAATCACCTTGAGGTTTACATCCCCGTTGCTTGGAGAAAGACGTAGCTCAAAACGCGCACGTTTATCTATATGTGTATGTGTATATATATATATATATATGTGCCGGTATGCAGGTACATACTGGTACATAATGGCAGCATATCCGTATAACTCTATGACGTGCACATAAATACATATACTATAATCGTACATCCCAAAACCCAGTGAACGAAACCCCAGCTCACGCCTCGGTGACATTGACGCGAGAAGCACACCTCATGCGGTGAATGACTCGTGGCTGCATGCGATGCCATGAATGGGCGCGCCTTTTTTTTCAGAGTGCTAACCCTGGATTCAGAAGCCCGTTCTTTTAATAATAGGGGGTGTGTTCCCCTCGAAAAGTGGCGCACCCCCACTAAAAGGGCCCTGTTTCTAGTATGTGTTTTCTATTCGGGGTCAACATTGTCTATCTTAGGGTTGTCTTGAAGGGAAGCCGGAGAAAGACCGAAGCCCATACTTTTAAGACCCACGCGGGCCTTCTTGCGGTCAGAGAGTCAGCTCAAAAAACAAAAACACACAGTCAACCTCTATGTAGGTGTGTTTCTTCGGGGACCCCCTAGAAAACGCGGCTCTCCTTTTGGTTTCCCTTTGATTCCATCAAACAAGCGGTGCCAACTCAAAAAGTCAAGCTCTATGTTGCCACCAGCCACTGGAGAGAAAAAAAGACAAGACAGCTCTGCCTCAAAGCCCCACCCCTTTCAAGGCAACCCGGTTCAGGGTGTGGCTGCGGGGTCGGGCTAGGCTCTTGAAGCACGTAGCGGCGCACCCCCCTTTTGATTTTGGATCCCCGCAAACAAAGGGTCGGTTTCAACCAAGTCTGCCCAACCCTCACTGGGCTGTCCGTTTTCAGTCCCTGCTAAAAGTCGACAAAATTTAGTGGGAAAAATGGAAACGCAACTACCAAACCTTTTCTCGCCACCAAGATCCAGGAATCTCCTGGACTCGCTTGGCACGGCACGAGGTCACATCTCATTGCCTGACCAAACTCATCACGCAGTTGGCCGGGGACTGTGCTATCATTGAAGGGAAACCGGCCCAGCTTTCAAAAAGACGTCTTGACTAAGGGGCGTGCCCCTACTTGTCCAAAGAGATCTCATCAGAAAGGAGGTCTTGTCAACCCCTTCCTGCCAGTTGGGTTAAAAGTGGCGAATTGCGACAGCTGTTCTCACAAGTGGCCTGTGTGTTTTGAAGGCCCCCTTTGCTAAATCATGGAATAGGGGGCATCTAGTATTTAAAAATGTGTCTTCCCATGTTGGTGGGAGGCCGCCTTTTACTATTGTGGAAAGCGATGGGACCCGTTTGTTTCTTTTTGACCCCTTGACCAGTAAGTGCAGGAGGCAAACCAATGCCTGTCAACTAAAGAGGCTGCGGCAAAGCGGGACCGCACAAAGCGCCCGCAACACCTCCATCCGAGCAGGGCCAAAATGTCGACCTTGCTTCACAAAAGGCCTGGGAGTTGATTCCAATTCCATTCTGTTCAACCATCGTTCTTTTCAAAAGAAAAAAACTATCAGCTGTTTTCCCATTTCCCCAGGGAAAAAAAAAACAGGAACGTCGAAGTGGCAAGTCCAAACAAATGGCAAAGCATAGCATGTGGCAAAACTATTTTGCCCGGACAAGGGCACGTCCGGGCCCCCCAGCCCCTTTTGGTGGCCAATCTTGTCACTTTCCCAAAAGCAACCTGCAAGCGAAGGCTTGTCAGGAGCAACGTGTGTCGCCAAAGGCCGAGCCTCCGAGCAACGCCTTTGGCTGCGCAAATGGCGGGTGACACCGGATGGGGGCTGGGCATGAGATTTTCCCACTTCCCTTTTGGGAAGACTGTGCTTTTGGCACGGGTTGCCGTGAAACTGAAGGCATGACTCGAGGACCTTCCCCCTACAAAGGAAAACTTGGCCCAACACCTGGGGTAGTGGCAGCCTCTTGGTTGCTTCGTTTGTCCATTGCTGCGGTACCGTTGGCTTTTCTTTCCCCCGAAGCTCTGCATCGTTCCACTGACAACTTGCATGGAACCGATCAAAGAGGACCAATGTCGGGATCGATCGACTACCCTTTTGGCGAAAGTGAGCTCCTCGACATTCCGCGGATCGTCCTTTCTTCATTTTGTTGGTGGTTGTTTGTTTTGATGTTCCTGTTTCTGATTTTTGTTTTTGCTTTTGTTTTGGCGCGGGGGGTCTTGGGGGGGAGGTTGCTGGGTTCCAAAGAGCATCTTCGTTCCAAAGAGCCGCTTTCGGCACGCTGCTCATGGAACTCCAAGCGTCTCTTTCACCCTTGAGCCACCGGCAACGCGGCGAAGCCAACCCGAGCAACGCGCCACCGGCTCACGTGGCCAGAGTCTGAAGCAACACCTGCTCTGCGAAATAACGGAAGGAAACCAAAAAATGGCCCCCCAAAGGATGTTCCGCTGAAAATGATGGGTGTGCGGGTTCCACGGTCAGTCTGCCGGCCGGTGGGGGCTCCAGCTAACATGCAAACGTCCAAAACCTGACCAGAGGGATCTGCAAGCACCAAGAAAAGGACCTACCTCATGGTAAGCCTGTTTTACCACGAGGTGAGCCCGTAATTATTCCTGTGCCCCCTCTCAAAGAAGCCCCTATCCAAAACGCTAGTTCGGGCCTCATGGGATCCATCATGGATCCCTTGAAGGGTATGAGGAACCCCCCTACATGAATAAATTCCTCACAAACGAGCCACCTCTCATCAAATCCGAAGTTGCACTATCAAGCAGGGGATGACCAGGTGATTTGCAAGCAAACACGCTTTCAGTCTTGCATCTATGACCTATGAACCTCCACCCCCTCAGCACGTCAGCTTCGAATGGGTCTGACCAGAACCCGTGAGCACCAACAAATCCCCCAAAACAAAAACAGCGACAATGGTCATCAAACAAACGAGCGGGGGATTCAACTTGATGCAACTGCACTGGCCTGGGTACCTTGGCTCAAGGCAGCTACAAGAGGCCGGACAGAAGAGGCCACACTATACCTGGGGACGCACCATGAAAATTCCGGCACATCTCGCCAAAATAAAAAGAAACCCCCCCACCAGACGGGACCGCAAGGTTTGATCTTCCAATCATCTTTTCTGTAGCTGGTGTTTTGGATTGGTGGTTTGGTGACTTCCCATTTACCCTCTGCAAGAACCACGGGTTCAAATCCAAATCCAAACCGCCAATCCAAACCACCAAACTAAGGGTAGCCCGATCCAAAAAAGGGAATAAATGGAAAACAACCCATCCTGACGCCAGAAACTTCCCTCCGCTCCTCCCCCGTTTTCAGGACGCAAAAGCCCCAGGCTCAGGGCTGCAGCTCGCTCACGGTCTCAGGAGTCTCCGGAAGTCCAGGAAAAAGACGCACTCGCAGGTGGTCTCACAATGGGCATGTGTCCCAACAGGGGGCTCCCAAAACGGTGGCCTTCCTCTTGGCCCCCGAATTTTCCACGATAAACCTGAAAGATCCTAAAAGCAGACCCTCAACCTGATGCAGACGAATTCCAAAGCTACGGTTTGGCGTGTGTCCCTGCCTATCCGTCTGCCTCTGCCTACCTACCTCTCTATGCATCCTATTGTGCTCTATTAAGAACCTTGCTAGTCGATTGGGCTGTTCATCCTCTCACCCACCTATCTGTCTCTATCCATCTACCTACCAACCTTGCCACGTAGCTGCCTATTACCTATCTATCTATCTATCTATCTATCTGTCTAATTGAACAAATCTACCTGCTCTACTCTACGTGACCTAATGTAATCTCATCTGATCCAGTCTAATCAGTCTCTCTCCGTCTCTGTATCTCTCTACCTTTCTATCTACCCTTATATCTCCCATGCGTCTTTCCATGTGCATATGTATATATATCTATACATCTCTCTCTCACATCTCTTGGTCTATCCAATATACTATCCAATCAAATCTAACTGGTCTCACCTAATCTGCCTATCCATCTATCTACGCAACTATCAACCGAGTCTAACCTGTATACCTAATCCAACCTTACCGAATTTAGTCTAGTCCAAGCTAAATTGTTCATCTGTCTTATCTAGCTTCCGATCTGCCTCTTATCTATCTATCTGTCCAAATCGATCTATCGCTATCTATCTTCCTTCTTTCCATCTATCCATCTACCTGTCTCTCCTGTCCACCTATATATATGTGTGTGTGTGTTTATATGTCTCACTACTTATCTATCTATTCCATTTTTTCTATCTTTCTGTGTAGGTTCCTATGTCTCTATGCATATGTCTATCTACCGCCCTTTGTTCCCGAAAGGGTTCTTCTGTGCGGAGCCATTGGACCAAGTTGCACAGAGCCGGGTTGACTATCTATCCGTCAACGCTCCTGAGTCGTGCTCAAATGCGCTGCACCTGTCGCGAAATTCAACGCGCGACCCCACAACACATTGCGCCGGCCACGACAGCTGCACTCTGTGATCCAAAGCGCTGCGCCTGACACGCAAATCAGGCTCTGGTGAGACGCGGCGCCTGCCACACAACTCAACGTCAACGCCGCGGCAGCCACGCAATCTGCACGTGACCCTCCAAAAAATGGCCCCTGCCACGCAAATCAGCGACTGCGGTGAGACATGCTGCAACATGCTGCGCCTGCTACTGCCACGAAATTTGATCACAGCGCTCTGAAGTGCTGCGCCAGTCACGCAAGGCGACGCGCCTGCCAAGCAAGACGCCTCGACCAAACGCCTGCATCCCAAATCACAATTGGCACGACGACACAAACGTAAACACCGCGCCTGCGCAGCGAACCGGCACGCAACCTCGCGAAAGCTATGACTTGCGCACAAACGCAACGAAGGCAACATGTTGGCAGTCACACAAATCGCACATACTGAGCCCCGCCCCCCAACGGCACAGCAACTTGCGCCACCTGCGAACTCTGGCGACGGAACAGCCGCACGCAGCGACGCATCTCACGAACACATGCTGACCCAAAGCTTCTATGCACTCTGGGAGAAAACACCCCCCATGTGGGCATTGACCGCTAAACATTCTGGGCCCTAGGTCCTGGGCAAATCTGTTGGCCATGGTTCAGGTAAGGAAGGAGCCCTGCGGAGACCAAGTCCTGGACCATTTGACATTCAGGGGTTCCAAGACAAACCCGTTTGGGAGTGTCTCTTTTAGGGTACCCCTCAAACTGTGTTTTAGTTCTTGCGGTTCCCCTTTAAAACTACCAAAAGGGGCACCAACCGACAAAAAACGGACGAGCCACCTGTCAGTTTGACGTCCCTACATTCACGCCGCATCCTGCTGGATCGAGCCGATCCCCGCAGACTCCGAGTCAGGAGGCTAAGTTTCTAAAGGCTTTCCGAAAGCGGGAGACCTCTGCGTTGTTTGGTCCAAAAGCGGGGCCCCGTATATTGTTTGTTTCTGTGTACTTCCCTGCAAAAAGGCGTCCCGCGGCTTATTCGTTCTTGTTGCTTGTTGCTTCCCCAAAATGCCCCTTGCAACTTGCAACTTGCAAAGAGTCGTAGGTTCTGTGGGGGGGGGCTTAGAACCATGCAGGTTACGTGTGATCATGCTTAGCATGCTGGCCTTGAACTGCTTGCCCCTTCACAGACAAGAAAGGGGGCTTGGGGGTTGGGTTCCCCCACTGGCCACAGTGGCCAAACAACTTCGAACTCTCTGCACTAAAATGGCCCAAACACAAAAGGAATGGAACCCCATTCGGAGAGCGAGCTTTCATGATGTTCCCTGAACATGAACTTGTCTCAAATTGAAGACAAGGACCCCAAACAATGTATTTGCCAATAATGGTGGTTTCCCTGTTGGTTTCCCCACAACACCAACCAAGAGGATTTTCAATCAAACACAAACACCACATAGACCAAACATTGGGTGATCTCCCTACCGCTTCGGGCTTGAGCGAGATGGGAAGTTCCCACGTGCCGACTCGCAGAACCCCGGCCTGGCCCTGATGAGCTGAAAAAAACAGGAAAATCATGTTGGCCCCATATTCATCAACCCCAGTTTACTCAAAGGGGAGGGTGCTTTTCCCTGGATTTAGTGGGGAATCATCGCTTCTGGAGGGGCCCTCACCCCCATATTAATACACTGGGGTTGATTCATATGGGGTCACCATTACACTGCAGCTCCTTAAACCTTCGTGAAAAACATCCATGCCGGTCAGTAGTTGGTAGGTGATGTATCCCAGCTTCACCCATACCAACTGGCGCGAGATTTTGTCAGGAGCTCAGTCATACTGGAATGGTTGATTGGCTCAACCAGGAGTTTGTACCAGGGCCTCTTATGCGTGCGCTCACCGTCTTTTCTTTGTTGTCAAGCAAACCCGAAACCAAAGCCCTCACTTTGAGTGGTAGCCCCCCAAAAGGTTTGGCTTTGTTCAAGGAGTCTTCTTGTGGCATCGGGTTTAAATCCCCCCCCCTTTGGGGTTCATGCGTTCCGCGTGCAGAGGAGCTCAGATCTTGCGAAAGTCGATTCCCCTCCTAGGGCCGAAAGAAAGAAGGCGACGTCCCCAAGTCCGGCCGTCTCAAAAAACGGTTGTTTCGAACCCCCCCACAGTGGGCAAAAGGTGCCCTTTTGGTCCTCGGTACCAACTCCAAAAAACACCCCCCCAAATCCCCTGGGATTTGACATGCTTTGTGTCTCTTGGACTGGTCGAAGGAGTGAGTCATTCGGATTTCGGTTTCGCTTGTCCTGCTGAACTTTGTAACATGGTGTTCCCGAACATGTACGACCGCTTGGGCGGAGAATACCACGTGACAAAGCCATCAGCTCTGGAAGATATCATTTTGAGAGGTAGTGTTCCTAGCGGCAATGCTGTGCTTTTCCGAAGCGACTGTCTTGATGGGCAGGTTTGAAGCCCCCTGTAACCCACAAATCTGCGCACATTGCCGAAAAACCGAGACCAGAATTGAGGAAAAAGGTGCACCTGAGGCCTGGCTCTGCGGAGCATCTTGGCTTTTGCCAAGGTGCCGGATGCGAATCTTTGCCCCACCAACAATCCCCTGTCTTTTGCCAGCCAGATGTATGCAGCGCCGCACACGTTATACCAAGGACTGTTCGTGGGGACCGTCTGGTCTCTGCGTCTCACATTGGAGAGTAGAGACCTGTGATCAGGCGTCCGTCGTTGGCTACCCCGGGTACCCGAAGGAAAACCCCCGTGGGCATCCGGAACGCGGAACCCGTGCGGTGAAACTTCGCGGATGAAGATTTGGCCCAGGGCCAGGCCGAAACTTCGCAGCTCACTCTTGCTTCAGCCCTGAGCCTCGGACGCGGAGGGCCCCTTCTTGCATGCAAAGAAGGGGGAGAGGATGGGGAAACAGTGCCCCTCATACATGTATCTATGCATGTATATGTAAGGATACCTATATAGATATAGATATGTGTACCCCTTAGAAAGCTCATATCAAGACGAAAACATGGATATATACACAAAGCAGCCTATGCATGCATGTAAGCAACGCAAGGCAATGCAATGCAACACAACGTAATTAACATATTGCAACGTTCAATGCAATTGAATGCCACAATTAAATGCAACGCAACTGCAAACCCGATGTAATGTAGATGTAATGTAGACTTAATGTAGGCTTAGGTGTAGTCCAAATGTAAGGCGAATGCATCCCACCTGCAAATGCAATGTCAATGAAATGCAATGCACATGTTGTGCAAATGCAGCGTAAAGTAAATGTAAGTAGATGTAGTTTAAGCGTAATGTAACTGCAAAATGTGATGCACATGTAATACACATGGCATGCAAATGTAACGCAAATGGAAGGTGCGTGTAGCCCAATTGTAATGCAAACAAAAAAAGCAAATATGATGCAAATGCAATGTAAACTCAATGCGCATAATTTATGTGTGGCGTAGATGTACTGCAAGTGTGATGGAAATGTACATGTAAAAAATGTACCGTACGCGTATTGGGGCGTAATGCATGCATGCATGCCTGCATGCTTGCATCTGTGCCTTCATGCAAATAGGCTTCCACATGTAGATGCATGCATACATACATACATACATATATATATATATATGTGTGTGTGTGTGTTATAGTCTATACCCTCGCCAGGCTTCAGCACATGATCAAGCCCTCATGCACAGGCCCCTCTTGCCTATGCGCTTCCCGCAGGCACCTACACAAACCAAAGGCATCGCGCCCCTTAACAGGAAATCGAGTGAAGGTGTCCAATGTCACCCCTGCATAACATGATAACTGTTGAGCCTGGCCAAGATGACACCCTGCCTCGTGCATACAAGAACATAAGCATTCAGCTGGTGAAGAATTCGGATTCTTCGGCGGCAGAGATTAGATTGAAACATCTTGGCGGCCAACTTCTCACCGTCGCACAATTTCGCCTCGACAAAAACAAGTGGGGGTGGGCAGGATCCGTCTCGGTGACGCCTTTTAACCAACTTAGAGGGGACTTGTCATCGTACGGCTGTTCCCTTTTGAACGACCCAGGAGCTTTGCCCGCAACCACCGAACTAGAGACACCCAACTGTTTTCAAGCGGATGCCAGGAGAAACCACTGGTCAGAACTAACGATCGCCCCTGTGTGAACCAACGTGCTGGTTGATTCCAAGAACGAATGCCCTCTTAAAGCGCATCCTGACGGGTCCACTTCAGCCATGCATATTCAATCCCGGGCGACTGAACTCACACTCCTAGACCCAACCCTGGAAGCTGACAGGGTGAAGGCCACCTTTGGAACCGCCCCTTTCTTCGAGGTCTCTCCCTCTCTCTCTCTCTCTCTCTCTCTCTCGTGCCATCGAAGGTCTCGTCTGCAGAAGCTCCCTGTTCCCTGTTCATGTGCAGTTTCCAGGTTTGGCCAAGGTGGCTACCCAGGAATCGGTTTCCCTGACCGGTGGATGGACCAAATCCTGCACCGCTGTGAAGCCATGCTCGAAACCATTGGTGGACGGTATTTGCAGGGGAATCCTAGGTGATACGAAATGGATCTTCTCAATCCACAGTGTTATTTTTCGAGGATGCCCTTTTTGGCGCTCGTTTTCTGGGGAATTTCTTTTGGCGCTCGTCTTCTGGGGATTTTGTTGTTGGGAAGCCAACCATTTTTGGGGTCCCATACTGTCAACCGGGCTGGGTCCTCTGCAGCTGCTCCTGGCCAAAAAATCACGCATCCCCCGCCCCAAACAAACCAATAAATGGCTGTGGGTCAAAATTATGCACCTGCCAAAAGGCACCAAGCACTAAAACCTGCGTTTTTTTTTTTTTTTTCTCGGTTGTGTTATTTTGACCCATATCCAAATGATGACCCCGAAATGCAGGAATGCGCGACCCCAAGTGCATTCCCAAAGAGATCCCCAACAACATGACTAGAACCAAAAGCAATCCACGAAAAAAAGGCCCTCAGCAAATGCCCCCAAACCATCTCCGAACAAAAGCATTCCCAACGATATGTCCAAAAGCAGATCCGAATACATACCCGCAAGCGCCCCAACATAACCCCAAATAGACCCCAAAGACATCTCGCAAGTTTTTCCCGAAACGTTCCTAAAAGCGCTGCCCACAAGCCTCCCTTGCAGACACAACACAACGGCGGCCTCCAGAGACAATCCACCAGAGATTCACCAACTGACATTTTCTGAAACACCCCCAAGACATCTTCCAACACATGCGCCGAAGATACCCGAACAAAGACCCCGTTTCCAACGAGGCATCCACAAACACATCCCAAAGACATCCCCAAATACATCTCCTAACACAAATGAAAGACAACCCCCGCATCCCCAAAAGGAATCCTCCTGAAGACTTCCCCCAAGACTCCTTCCAAGGTCGTCTCACCCAAGACAGCCGCAACCGCAAAGACATGCCCAAAGACACCCTCAAACACACCCCGCAAACACATCCCTCAAGACATCCCCGAACGGTGTCACCCAACAAACCGCAAAAAACATCCCCAAAAACACCCCCCCACAGGACATCCCCCAAGCACCAATACCCCTGCCCCCACACAACCAAGACATCCCTGAAAAACAGCGCAAAGTCATCCCCCAAGGCATTACCCAAACACATCACCCAAAAACATCACCCAAAGACATCACCCAATGACATGCCAAGCATCCCCACAAGACACCTTTCAAAGACACCCCCCAAAGTCCCCCAAGGCCACGTCCGAACCCCAACAAAACTAGGCTCGACAAATGACACGCCCATGGATCGACAGCCCCCCGGTCCCCGGTCCTGACGTTGACAGGCGTGCACTGGGAAGAAGGCCTTCCTTGCCGCCGACTTCGGCCCAGACCCAGTCCGTCTTGCCGAACGGCTTGATCGTCACCTTCCAGGGTCCCAAAGCCGGAGCTGAGGATTTCACATGAGCCTTTGAGTCCGACCAGAGCTGAATCTGCGAAAAAGTAGCCCTACTAGCAGAAAGGCAAACCACCGCAGCATGTGTTGAAGTGTGTTTATTTAAGGCAACCCAAACAAACGCCTTAGAAAATGTCACACACACAGAGTTTGATCGCGTCTCCCTTTTCCAGGCGTTCCCCACCCATGAAGCTACGGGCCATTCCCCATGGGCCCAAATGTTCCAGCCTCGCAACTCACATGCTGCTAGGGCTGTACACCTTCTTCGCCCATCCAGGCTTGGGCTTCGCAGCCGTGCACTTTAGAACCAGACCCTCCTTTCAAAGGAAAGCCAAAACGTCCAAAATCCTGTCTAAACTCCAGCAGGGTTTAGACGTATTGGTCTTTTTCATGGTTGGTTGCTCCCCGCCTTGTCGCCTTTCTTAACCGAGAGGATGTGACCCTCCATGAGGGGCGCCATCTCCACGTCGTCTGTCACTGTCGCGCTGGTCTTTTCTTGGACCTCCTGGCAGCTTCCGAACCGCAGACTCTGGGACTGTCAACTTTTAGACCTTGTACCCCCTTTTGGGGGTGAGTTTATGTGATGCACATACCGTTCCTCCCACAAAATAGCAGCTGTGGAAGGATACCTGGAACATCAATTTCCTCCTCAAGGGACCTGCGGTCAGGTGCCATGTAGTGGGACGTAGGGTACCCTTTTCTCTCTCTCTCTCTCTCTCTCTCTCTCTCTCTCTCTCTCTCTCTCTCTTCTCTGCCCAACGCGCGCCCGAAAGGTCCACCTTCGCATCTCGGCAACGAACCATGAAACATTCGTGTGGGAGATGCTCAAAAGGGGGTGGTCACTGGGTGGCTGTCCCCGCCATCTCCAGATTCACCCCTTCACACCATGCCGGGGCCAAAGGGCTTGGAGAAGGAATGAGTCCATCAAAAATGGGCGGATGGGCCCAAAAAAGTCGCCAAATGGCAACCAAAATGGCAACCAAACCTTGAGTTGTTTGTTAACCTCCGAAACGGAACTCAGGGAGCGACGAGTGCTAAAGCCAAGAAACCCTTTGCAAGCTCTTGGCTTTCCCTATACCACTTTTCTTTCCTTTCAGGGCCGCCTGCCTCGGTTGGCAGCTCCGTGTACTTGGTAAGCTGCTTCCGGAGGATCAACCTCATGAAGCATCGGTGAGATGGGGAGACCCTAAGCCGAGGACTCCCTGGTGTTTCCTCCCCTGAACTTCCGAACTTCACTGTACTCGGAAAAAGTGCAAGAGGTGACCCAAGTCTTGATGATTTAGTCCACTGATTTCTTTGCCGGCAAGGAACCTTCATGGCTGAGCCTGCTGACAACGGGTGAGCTCAGGAAAAGAAAAAAGACAAAAACAGAAACCTTGCGGATCAACAGGGGGATGGAGGAACCTCACCCTGATCGGATCTTTTCTAGCGGGAATGCCAAGGGTTTATTGATCCTGAGCCTCCCCCTTTGGCAACCACACACCTCGGGCAATCAACCGGTGCTGCGGGTTTGTTTGAGAAAGTTGGTTTGTCCGGCGGGCTCCCCCAAATCTCTTTTGCCCTTGACAAAATTTAGAGCCTGCTTGTGGTGTCTGGATTGTGTTACATCTCCAAGTGTGAAATTCGGGAACCCCCCAGACAATTGGTGTTCCTTTCGATTCCCGTTTAAAACATCCTTAAAACGAGTATCCAGTCCCACCCTCCCTTAACACCCCCTTCCCCGCCTTCCCAAAAAAACCAAACTCTTCGGAAAACAGCAGGACGGCGGGGATAGAGGAGTGAGTCTAGGGTTGGGGCTCCGGGAATTTGGGTGACATTCCTTGGGCCTCCAACATGGCACACGACCAACTCAAGTCTCCAGTGGTTTATCAAACCCCCCAGGCCTTTTGGGGGGCTTCACTCATACCAATTGGTGCACAAGTCCACCATGGGGCAGCTGGACCAAGGGGACTCCGTCGCCGGTCTTCGATGCCGGGCTGCGACCTCCTCACATTGGCCTTGGTCGCCATGGCCCGCTTCTTCTTCATGTCCTCATAGGCCAGCACCTTCATCAGGATGTGCCTCACCAGTGGCGCGGAAGTGTTTGTTTGTCTTCACCAGGCATGTCGCGATTGTGTTGTGAAGCCGTGTTTTTTTTCCCCCCGCAAAAGTCGCCCTCTTCTGCAGATCTGGGCGACCTTGTGGCATTTCGCCAGGTCGCGATGTCCGTCGGGAGCTTCAAAACCCTCTTTGGGAAGGCAGTGGGCAGCCAATGGGGCAATGGAGGCGGACCAACCAAGCGGCGGGCATCCAGGACATTAAAAAAAATTGGCGACTTAGTTGCCTGCCACTTGAGCTTACACTTATCATTAGATAGGTACCTAGAAGAAATGGTCATGTAGAACACTTTGAGGTAAAGTGCCTGCTGGAGTACTATAGTTTCAACTGGGAGAACTAAGAATGCATATGTAATATGTACAGGGTTGTCCCTTTGCACCTTTTCTTGGGCACTTTTCTTGGGACTAGTTTGGCATACCTCGCGAAAGGATCAAACGGGAAACATGTTCGCAGGGCCGTACATGTTCAATGAGGTAGTCTAAGAAGGACACTGGTGACACTTCATGCAAGCGATTCTCAATTTGCTTCCCATAACAGGGCTGGAAAAAGCAAACAGACACCCACATTGCATGGACGATTGACCCATCGCTGAACAGTTGGTTCGCTAAGAAACTTGATCCTTCCTCCCGATGGGCACTTGCCTGTCCAGCAATGGGCGGGCTAGGATGCACCTCCTGAATTCGACTCATCTTGGGGCGGCAGGTTTGCGGGTTCTCCCAACTTGCTCGTCAAGAAACGGGGGGCTCTTTTTCTCAGCCCCCCATTCTTTAAAAAAAACACGAAGAATGGAAGACCTATAAGAAACGGGGGGGGGCTCTTTGCAGCGCCCCCCTCAGAACCACAGGGAACGGAAGACCCAAAGCACATGGCGTTAGCCACCGTCATGCCTCGCCCTCGAGACAGCAGGCCTGCGCCAGGCGGGCACCAGGAAGAAGCACACGAAGCAGCCTCGGCGTCTTCGTTTTCCTTTTCTTTCCCGGCGCTCGCTGCAACTTTTAGTTGCACCAACCAAAAAAAAACTTCAGGCACCCCCCCCCCCCCACCCCGACAAAGGGGAACGATGTTTTTGTTTTTGGATGGTTCAAAGGAAGCTCAAAGAACAAGCAAGCCATTTTTCGGGAGTCCAGAAAAAGATGCTAGTTTCCAAACTGTTTGCAAAGTGATCCCCATTCATTTGATCATGTTTCTGTCGAACCGCTAAAGTACCCATAACTCTCTGGCATTCACGTGCAAACTTTGGATCCCAATCAGGCAGCTAAGCAAAGCTGAAGGTCTTGGTTGGGGAAGTCGACACATGGGCATAGGTTGATGCAACCTGGCCAATGCTTTCGGGAATTTGGTACCCCAAAGCGCTTCGAAAGGGTCCCAGGCAGACCCGATTTTGGGAAGGGAACCCAATGAAAAGAACCCAACGGGAAACAACTGTCCGCTCATTTTGGGGGGATCCCCTATGCTTCCGATCCCTGCTGTGTCCTGTTCTTCAGCCTGCCCCTTGCACAACAAAAAACCTCCTGAAGGGCCTGCCCCTCTCTTGGAAAGGACAACATGTACGCGCGGAGAAAGAAACGCGCGGAGAAAGAAACGCGCGGAGACAGAAACGCCGCCAGAGCTGTCCCGAAAACCGGGCTTTCGGGCGTTGTTTCTCAAACTTGGGGGCACACGTCGACAGGAAATCCTTTTGGCCCCCTTCAAAACCAAACAAAACATCCGAGAAGAAAAAAAGGGTCAAATGATGCCTACTTTGAGAAACCCCCAATTTTTGGGCTTCGACGAAAGAAAAAAATTGACCTGCGGTCATGCTTGCCAAGGTGCCCAGGAAGAACTTGCACAGCCTCCGGCACGCGGCTTTGGCCATGGCCGACCCTGTGATGAAAACTGGGGGGACCTCACAGCCACTCTATCCACCCGCAGTCTTCAAGGGCCACTGAGGATTCTTCTTAAAACCTCCCAAATTGTCCATGAATTGTTCTCTGGGGGTTCTTTGTTCTTGAACCCCCCCCCCCCAAAAAAAGAAATGTGACGAAGACACATTCATCATGTGCTCAACCATGTGTTGAAGTGTCCCTGTCCATTTTGGCCATCTTCAAAGTGCCCTTCTTGGACCGGGAAAAAAAGATCACAACACATCACAACCAAGAATCCCACCGGATTTGAAACCAGATTCGCATCCCGCAGGCTCCCTGAGGCGCACCCCCCTACCTCTCCGAATACCCACTTGATGTTTTGGGCATATCAACATCGTGCAAAAAAGAGGCATTCGTATGAGCATTTGCCATGGAACATGCCCATCTTCTCAAGATAAAAACAAACACCAGCCAAAAACACAAAGGCGAGAGCTTGCGGAGCTTTCGAAGACCAAAAAAGACGAGACAGGAGTTGCGTGGCAAAACAAATTACACCAGCATAGACCCCAGCTAGCAAAATCATGAAGTTACGGCTGGCACAAACAAAAGAGGCACGGCGCGCCTCTTGTGGTTGGCGGTGCTGGCCACCGCGGCCACGCCCTCCTCAAAGGAGTGCTCCCAGGAGAAGCCGATGAGAATGGCGATCGCCTCTGAGAGACTCCGATGCATAGTAATTTTTTATGGGAAAAGAATCGACATCCGATTGTTTTTTGGGTTGGCTTAAAAGGGAACCCGTCCCAAAAGGAGGTTAGAGAAGGGTACCACTGGGCAACTGGGGAGAAGGGGACCCAAAACCAACGCGGATGCACACCAAAACTGGAAAGCGGTTCCGGGGGTCCTATGACCTTGGTGACAAGTTCGGATGCCGAGTTCCGCTTCTGGGGACCCCAGACACGTGGTTCCGCCCCTTCTGACAGAAAGCAGCCCCTTCGTTTTCTCCACATCTTGGGAAAAGCCTCACGCAGCACGGAGTTGCAACCGCGCCTGGATGATGATGCGGATGGCCTTTGCTGCTTCCTGGCGGTGCCAAGCCACCATGCACGAGAAGGCCCCAAAGTGATCTTGATACCTCCCTCTTTCATGGCAACGTGAAAGGGAAACCTGGTAGGTGCGCAGGCGCCCTTTCCACCACGAATTGAAGGGAAAACTTCCAATCCGAGGCACATGATCCTTCAGATGCAGGAAGCAAAGAGTTGTTTATTCCTGGGGCATGAGTTCCGAACTTCCCTTCGAGCCTCCTGCAATGATCTCGCCTGATCCCTTGGTTTTGCTGAATCGCATTTCGCCGGACCGAGTGGGGATGGGGCGCTTCAAGCTGGCGGTTGGTTGCGAATTCACTGAGGCGGGGGTGAGGTGCTGGCATTGTCAAAGTGCTCGCCACCAACTTTCACGAAGCTAAAGAAAGCGGTGCTAACACTTGAAGTTGCTGCTGACCCCTCTGCGAAAAAAATTGTGCTCTTTTCACTTTGTGTGGCTGCAATGGAAAACCCGGGCTGGTTCAACCAAAAAGTTGAAGTGTAAAGATGCACCCCACTAGCAATCTGCAAACAGTGCATGGTTCTTCCAGCAAAGTAAATCAGTCCTGCCGCCCCGGAGCGGCAAGCAGAAGGCTTCAAACCCTTGGGGGAAAGTCAGCCATTTGGCTGCTGCAACCATGAAACGTAAGCCTGATGAAATACCCTTTGGGGGTTCCCTTTAGAAGGTTGTTTTTTCTTCCAGGACCCCTCTGGCAGGTGGTCACATTCAACAAGTTAACCTCACTTTCCACACATCCCTGCCTCTGCTGATCCATGGTTCTCCTTCTGGTAGTCGTCCACGCGGTCCAGCCTGGCGCTGGCAACATAATGCCAGAAGTCTCGATCAAACAGTTTGGATGCGCCTGTCGTGCAAAACGCCTGCAAGGCTTCTGAAAGAGTACAAAGAAAGCACGGCAACGCAACAGCCTTTCAGGATCCTTTCCCTCGGCAAAGGGGAACCAGCTCACTCAAATGAGGTGGGAAACCTATCCCCCCCCCCCCCGAAGCATGCTTAGAACCAATTTAAAACTGGGTCGATGATGGCTTTAGAGGTGGACTCAGGGGTTCCTCTTCAGGCTTTCCGGGACGGGGTCCTGGATGTCTCCACGGCCAAGCCACATGAAGACTGCAATGCCGCAAAAGAAGGACAGGATCAGAGCCTCAGCCAGGCTGGCTTTTTTGTCGGCAAGGGCACCAATTAACATGGAACTTGACGTTCGGGTCCCTAAAATTGGAACCTGGTCCTCCAGGAAACCCCGAACGTCAGCTTCCATGTCAATCGCTGAGGTATGTGAAACCAATTCCTCCAGGTGGTTGGCTTCCTTTGAGCTCTTCGAAAGCCAGCCCAAGGGGCGCACATTCCGGGAAACCTGATGTTACCTCACTGGGAGGGCGATCGAACATCCTGCCGTCGGTCAAATGCTCATAGATCAAGGGAAGAACGGGGACTTTCCGCGGAATGCAACTGCACACGCCCCTTCGAGACAATGCTCTCCCCCCATTTCCTTAGCGCTAAACTGGAGAACTCCCTTCATCACAACTTCCCCTGCTTTTCCTCCACCCATCGCCTTGTCGCCCGGGGATTGCTGGGGGCCCCCACCAAGATCACTTGCCCAATCATGCTCTCGTTGTCGAAGATGTCCTAAGCTCTCGCTCCGCGCATAGGGCGCGACGGCTGTTGGCGCTCGATGATTGGCTTGGCAATGTGATGCAATGAGTCCCCATCGTGGTAAAAGCTTCAAATTCGCTTGTGTGACAAACAAGCGGGACACCGAATCAAGCAAACCATTGGGTCCCCGAACAAAAGACGAGCCATATTCGCAAATGGTGCCCTGCATCAACGCGCAGGTGCCCTGTGCTTTTGGCAACCCTCGGTTTTAAGCGATTTTGCGATTGTGTTTTTCTAGGCGCTACTTGCTTCGGCGAATGTGACCATCAAAGAATCGACCCCTCCCACTTTGCCATGGCACCTGACAGGGGGAGCCCTCGAAGAAGAAATCGATCTTCAAGGTACCCTCCCACAAATGCTGGTAGTGGGAGGGGTAAAAACTGGCTTGGTGTCAAGTTTGCATCTGCATCCAAGAGAGCCGCCAAAAAACCGGTGTTCGAAGCCGCTCATTCACAGCCGATCTTCGCGACACTGCTACGTACATTCAAGAAACCCCGCGGTGGTTCTGGGTTTGTCGTTCACCCCCTGCAAACCGTAACATGTGTATCTGTGCACGCCCCAGAAAAGCACACATTTCCCCAAAGGCTAGCGTCTACCCCAAATACCCGTTCTTGGAGTGTTCAGCTTGAAAAACAGCGCCCCATGCGAAACTGAAACTGTCTTAGTCAAAGGTTGACATCGTGCCCTATCATGCCCTGAACACCGTGAGACATGTTGGGGCGTACGTGCTGGAAAGATCTGAAAGGTAGGCCAAAAGACTGAGTGAAAACCACCAGCGCTTCAGGCTCAGCGCTCATATGCTTCAGCCACCCGAGCAAAAGCCGACGGGGTAAGACTTAAGAGCGGCACCAGCTTGAGAGAGATCCACCTGGCCGACTCTCTGTCCGTTTAGCGTGGGCCAAAGGTCCTAGGTCCTCCAGTAGAGAGGTTAGAATAAGGGTACCCTGTTGTTTTTTGCTGTTGTTGTTTCTTTTCCTTTTCTCTGTAGTCTATTTTAGTAGGGGAACCCTCACCCGAAAAGGGGAACCCTCACCCGCACTACTGGGGGACCTGGGGTGTCTGCCCTGAATCTTTCTGACCAGGTTTCTGGTCTGGGTGAATGGCGAGGTGCAACGATCTGGGGAACTACTGTGGCGGGACGAAATCCATTTCGCAGCGATCCGAAACTCTGGAATGATTCGATTCCCCTGCAAATGCCAACCAACCTTATGGTTTCGGATATCGTTCAATCAACCAGTTGTCTAGTTGTGGGGTTCTGAGTATCTTGGATGTGGGCCCTGTCCCCAGATCTCAAGCACAAGGAAGCCAGGGGAAACTATGATTCTTGGCTTTGACACCTGGACCATCCGGAAAGCAAAAGGCCCCAAACCGAAACAATTTTTGTGCGATCTGAAATGCAAAGATCGCAAGTCCGCGCCCATGAGCGGAGTTGCTTGTGACTGTGTGCGACTGCTCGTTCCTATGCACATGTGCCTTCACTTGCATACCTCAGGGTGAAATCATTTGCGCGCCACTCCGCATGCGGGTCCGCGGGATGGTCAAAAAACCAGCGTGAATTGTGAAGGCGCAAGTCGTCCGCTTCCCTGTGTTTTGGTTGTCTGGGTTGGTGGTTTGGTGGTCAGGGAGGGGCTTCCCATTACCCCTCTATAAAAGCCTCAAATGAGGAGTCATAATCAAAACCCGGTATTAAAATGGTCTACCCGGTCTACCCAGATCCATGTAAAGAATTAAGAAGGCGGCCTCAGCTATTTATGGTTGGGATTCTCCCTTTCTAACCTTCATCAATCCCCGGGTTTTGAGCAAGTGGCTCACATCCCCCAACCACCAATCCAAAGCGCCAACCTGACGGGTTCCCAGCCGCCTGGAGCCGAAGAAGAGGATCCAGGCGAAGACCATGGCGAGAGAGTTGCTCAGCACTTGCGCCATGCGCACGCCTCAGTCTCGGAACTCGGAACTCGGACCCAGCCGAAGCCGACAAGACACGCCGCCCGAAAATGTCTTGCACTCACTTGCGCGGTCAAAAGTAATGGAAGCCCAAATTACCGCCGGCGGCCATGAAAATGAAGTCCCGAAAAGAGCCCTTGCTCAGACCAGGGGCACTAAGGTGAAAACTTCTTGGGCGAAAGACCGGGGCCACTCTCCCGACCACAGAACCCACCAGGTGCGTTTCAGAAGAAACCTGGTTGGAGCACCTCCTGGAGCTTGCTCTGCAGCTCTCCCCAGATACAGATACTGCCGAATCGGACGATTCGGCCGACCGCCGAACCGCGGGAGCGCAACCTGGCAATCTTGACACGCAAAAGTGGCCGGCCGTGGATCCCATCCCGGTTTGGCTCCCAAGCAAAAGCAGAATCTGACAGGGGCGTTCTTGCCAAGCAAACCGGCCCGCCGCCTCCCGTCAGGTTCCAACTTGGTATTTTGAAACTCGCCAAACGGCACTCCAACCCTCAAAGATGCCCTGAGAGTCTTTTCAACCCAATAAAGCCGCTGCCCAGTGTTCGTGAAGTTTCGTGAAGCTCCAGCGAACCATTCGAAAGGCTGCCATCCTGTCAACCTTTGGGTTGATCATCTCCGAGGGAGGCTGGGTCCAAACATCGGAGCCCAGGCGTTCTCCTCCGGGACGGCAGCCCGCTCCGAGCTCCGGTGGAGGCGGCGCTCCGGCCCCAAGCGGCTGGCCCGTGGACCAACCCCAAAACCTCGGGCAGACTGAGGCCCCCGGCCGAACGACACCTCCGGGATCTGCTCAATCTCCTTGACCTTCAAGAGAGAATCTACTCTTTGGATGGGGCCACAGAAATTTGTTCTGAGGGGGATGTATCAAAATGGGGGGGGGCCCTCGAAATTTGGGTTCTCTCCTCAACCAAGTTTCAAACGGGGTAAGCCTTCAAAAGCCATACACTGCGGGGCTCCTTTTTGGGGGGCCACCCGGGCAGGGCCAAGAAAGCGTCACAGCCGTCCAAGCCAAAGGCTTCAATTCTGGCAGTGTGTCCAAGCTTGATTTGCCGGAGGCACCAACCAACCAACCAACCAACCAAACCAAACCAAACCAAACCAAACGAAACCAAACCAAATTAAACCAAACCAAACCAAACCAAACCAACCAGGGGACCACCCGTGGCAAAAACACAGCCAGGGATCCTTTGAGGAACCCCATCTCACAAAAAAGAATGGCAAGCCCCGGACCTTCCCTGGAACCCGGATCCGGCATGGCCCCTGGACCTGCGCAAGAAAAAAATCTGCACCTGAGGAAACGCCTTCAGCGGAGGGAAACCAAGGCGAACCCCAAGAATATGGCCGATAATCCACAGGAAAAATGAGAGTGGGGAGGCTGATTCCAGGTGTTGGTTCGTCTGGGGGATTAATCGTTTTATCCTCCGCAGAACTCCTGACGGTGTCCATGCCAAACTGCCCGGGAACAGATGGATCGCCCGGGAGCGATGTATGTCCAATTCCTTGCACACATCGTGCAAGCAGACCACGAACCATGGTAAATTGCAGAATGCTCCGGATCCCGTTACATATACTGGAAATCAACCGCGTCACATGTCTGTCCTCTGCCGGATCCTCTTCCTCCTCTCCACCACCGCACTTCAGCGCGATGACCTCGGTCCAAGTCTTGTTCGGCACACCCTTACTTTTCACACTCCCATGGAGTGCCAGTTGCTGTCCCCACCAACTGACATTTTCCCCTTGTGCCCACCGGATTTTTCTTTGGGGGTTGCCCCCAGCCCTTTCCGTACAGTACTTCGGGGGAGGGATCACCCCCTCCCCATGGTTTCCTCT